GAGGAGGAGGATTGTGGAGTCCTTGTGCTCTCTGAGTTTGGTTGGTGGTTTGCAGACATTTAACTACCCAACTAGATAATATCAGTGCTTGAAGGGAGTGAGATTTGAGAAGGAGAGAAGGAGGAAGAGAAGGGCGAGGAGGATTGTGGGGTCCTTAGCAGTGGTGAAATTCAATTTTTTTTACTACTGGTTCTGAGGGCGTGGCTTGGTGGCCATGGCTTGGTGGCCATGGCAGGGGAAAGATACTGCAAAATCCCCATTCCATCCCCACTCCTGGGGGAAGGACACTGTAAAATCTCCATTCCCTCCCCACTCTGGGGCCAGCCAGGGGTGGTATTTGCCGGTTCTCTGAACTACTCAAAATTTCCGCTACCGGTTCTCCAGGACCTGTCAGAACCTGCTGGATTTCACCCCTGGTTCTTAGTGTTCGTTGTTCGTTAAACGTTGGTTCGTTGTTTGGAGAAGTTTCATTACCCAACTAGATAACATCCTCAGTTTTAGAAGGGAGTGAGGTTTGTGGTGGTGGTGGAGGAAGAGGAGGATTGTGGGGTCCTCTGTGCCCCCTGAGCTTGGTTATTTGTTTGCAGATGTTTCATTACCCAACTAAATAACACCACCAATGCACGGATGAAACATCTGCAAGAAAACCACCAAGCTCAGAGGGCACCAAGGACCTCTCACAGTGGCAAATTATTCAGAGAGGGAAGGGGAAAGGAAAGTACACCACACAGTGTTCTTTGGTTCAACTCTCAAGACTTCTGCACATTCTGGTGTGATTCGACTTCAACCCAATGCTGCCTTCGTTCTTCATTGAGTTGGGCTCCACCCCTCCAGATATTTTAAGGTCTCTGGCATTTACATAACTTTCCCCCTCCCCTTTGGCCTCAGTTTTTTGGCTCGTTTTTCTGTGTTTTCAACTACCGTGTTTCCCCGAAAATAAGACCCTGTCTTATATTTTTTTGAACCCCGAAATAAGCGTGTGGTCTTATTTTTGGGGAGGTGTTATTATTTTGGGGCGCATGGAGGAAACCAGAGGAAATGGCGGGGACTGGCTTGCTACGGTCAAGATGTGTAATATTAAGTATATTGTCCCTTTATCATAACCATTTGATATAATACCTAGTAAAAATAATTCTGGCTTAAACTCTATATGTTGTCTGGTCAGTTTTTCTAACCACGTATGCATTTGTATCCAAAATTTACTTTCCTTTATACAAGTCTACCAAATGTGGTAATACCGTGTTTCCCCAAAAATAAGACCCTGTCTTATATTTTTTTGAACCCTGAAATAAGCACGGGGCCTTATTTTCGGGGAGATCTTATTATTTTGGGGTGCATGGACCAAGATGGCGCTCTTCTTGCCATTTTACCTGATTTCCAGCTCTGCGTTTAAATATTTTCAGGCAGGGCTTATTTTCGGGGGGGGAGGCTTATTTTAGCGCATGCGCTCAAAAGCCCAATTGGGCTTATTATCAGGGGATGTCTTATTTTCGGTAGGAAACAAAATACAGCGAAGAGGACAGACATGTGAACTGAATAAAACATTTAAAAAAGAAATGCCTAACTCCAGGTGAGAGGTCTGCAACCTTAAACACTCAAAGAGCCATTTCGACCCATTTCCCACAGAAAAGAAAACACCGGGAGCCACAAAACCTGGGTGGGCGTGGCCAACTCGATGTCACTCACTCCCACCCAGTCACATGACCTCCCCCAGCCACGCCTATCCAGGTTTTGTGACTCCCGGTGTTTCCTGTGGGAAACAGGTATCTCTCTCTCTGTGTGTGTCTCTTTCTCTGTCTCTCCTCTCTCTCAGGCCAGGCGAGGAGTGACTGGAAGGGGACGGTGAAGGGTGGGGCCAGCCAGTGGTGGGTTCAGCCAATAGGGAGCCACAGCAGAGGGATGAAAGAGCCGCACACGGCTCCGGAGCCGTAGGTTGCTGACACTTGCTCCAGGTGATACAGAATCTTGCTTCGGAAACAACAGTGGGTTAAATTTTACCGACTTGTTCTTTCTTCTTGCATTGAATTTCTTTTCTTTTTTTTTCTTTTTTGGCTTACGATGGCCCTGAAAGATTTTTATTCCTCTCGCTGTGTTCTTTTAAATTGCATTTATTTTCCAGTCTTGGAAGAGCTGCTGGCTTGGCTTCACACACCCCCCCCCTCACAAAGACACACAACTCGCTTAAAAAGGCAACTTGTTCTATTTCATTTTTTTTCCCCTAAAAAACATTTGTTCTATTCTGCGGTGTTTTTTTTTTGTTTGTTTGTTTTCTTTTGTTTTTTGGGTTTTTTTTTTTTATTTTGCATTCTTCCTGTTGGAGATCACAGGATATTAGCTAGTTGTAACAGTTCAATGGACCGATTTCTCATTAAGCAGCAGCACTGCAAGGCAGAAACAGGAAAGGAGGGAGGGAGAGGGGAGGAGATTACATTTTTGATGAATTGCCATATCTCCCAGATGCTTTATTAAAGATACATATCGCAGAGAAGATGTGGAAGGCAACATGTGATTCTGGGGAGATTCTGTCTGAGATTTTTTTGTACAGACAGAGTCCTCGACTTAGGACCCACAATTGGAATCAGAATTTCTAAGCAAGGCAGTTTAAGCGAGTCGTGCCTTTTGCCACGGCCGTTGAGCAAATTGTTGCGCTTGTTAAGGGAATCATTTTGGGGCAGGGGTGAAATGCTCCCGGTTCGGACCAGATCGCCAATCCGGTAGCGATGGAGGCGGGTAGTTCGGAGAACCGGTAGCAAAAATCCCTGCCACCCCCCTCTCCATGCCCAGCTGAGCCGCACATTCATCAGAGGCTTTTTAAAAAAAAATTTAAAAGCATTTTTTCTACAACCTCTTCGGACGAAAAAAAATGCTTTTAAAATTTTTTTAAAAAAGGCTCTGACGATCGCGCGGCTCAGCTGGGATCGTCAGAGGCTTTTAAAAGCATTTTTTCTACAACCTCTTCAGCCCAAGAGTTGTAGAAAAAATGCTTTTAAAAGCCTCTGACGATCCCAGCTGAGTTGCCTGCTCGTCAGAGCCTTTTAAAAGCATTTTTTACAACCCCTTCTGCTGAAGAGGTTGTACAAAAAATGGTTTTAAAAGTAAAAAAAAAAAAAAAGTTGGCCACGCCCACTCAGTCACATTAACCCCCCCACCAAGCCACGCCCACAGGACCGGTAGTAACAAGTTTTACATTTCACCACTGCTTTGGGGCCAATGACCAGGAGACGGTGAGTCCTAGTCTAGTCCCACTTAGCCATGAAACCAGGAGGCAGTGAGTTCAAGTCTCGTTTTAGGCATGAAAGCGGGCTAGGTGACTTTGGGCCAATCACTAGGAGACAGTGAGTTCTAGTCCTGCATTAGCCTTGAAAACTGGCTAGGTGACTTTGGGCCAATCACCAGGAGACTGGGAATTCTAGTCCTGCCTTAGCCTTGAAAGCTGGCTAAGTGACTTTGGGCCAATCACTAGGAGATGGTGAGTTCTAGTCCTGCATTAGCCTTGAAAACTGGCTAGGTGACTTTGGGCCAATCACCAGGAGACGGTGAGTTCTAGTCCTGCATTAGCCTTGAAAACTGGCTGGGTGACTTTGGGCCAATCACCAGGAGACTGGGAATTCTAGTCCTGCCTTAGCCTTGAAAACTGGCTAGGTGACTTTGGGCCAATCACTAGGAGACTGGGAGTTCCAGTCCCGCCTTAGTCATGAAAGCCAGCTGGGTGACTTTGGCCAATCACTAGGAGACGGTGAGTTCTAGTCTAGTCCCACTTAGCCATGAAACCAGGAGGCAGTGGGTTCAAGTCTCATTTTAGGCATGAAAGCAGGCTGGGTGACTTTTAGCCAATCACTAGGAGACTGGGAGTTCTAGTCCTGTCTTAGTTTTGAAAACCAGCTGGGTGCCTTTGGGCCAATCACCAGGAAACGGGAAGTTCTAGTCCTGCCTTAGCCATGAAAACCAACTGGGTGAATCTGTGCCAATCACCAGGAGACAGGGAGTTTTCATCCTGCTTTAGCTTGAAACCTGGCTGGGTGACTTTGGAGCCAGTGCAGCCCACCTCACAGGGTTGTTGTTATGGGGAAAACAGGAGGAGGAAAGCGTGTTGGATATGTACATCGTCTTGAGTCATTGGTAAAAATAATAAAGGCGGGATACAAATAAATAAATGAATAAAACCATTATATGGATTACAAGCGTAAAGTCTTTTTTAAGAGGATTTTATTTACATAAGGGAATATTTTTTAATGGTGTGGGCAGAATAATAAAGATATTAAGAATCATTAAGTATGGTAGTCTTGTAGGAAAGTGGGTGGAGACAGGTTAGCTTATTGATTGTTTAGTTTAAGAAAAGGGATATTATGTTTAGATATGAATATATGTAAAAGATTTGAGTTAAGAGAAATATCGATGGGGGTGGAGGAAATGGGTAGACTATGAATTGAATAAATGTTAAATTAGGATTTTTTATATAGTCTTATAGTGGAAGGTTGCTTTGAAATGTTATATTAATATATATAAAAGATTTGATTTAAGAGATATATGTATGGGGGGGCAGAAAAAGGGTAGATTATGAGCAGAAATTGCTAAACTGGGAGATATAATAATATTATTATGCTAAATTAGGAGTTATTATATAATGTTATAGTAGAATGTTATTTTGAAATGTATAGTATAAGGGGGATATAATAATATTATTAGAAAGAAAGGGTCAGCATATGGGGGATGGAGTAAGGGGATGGTAAAGTATTATACAATCTGTTATGAATTTGGGTTTTATTTTGAAGAAGCCACAGGGGGAGGGGAGGGGGAGGGGGGGTTAGGGAGGAGTGGGGGGGAAAGGGGGAAAAATTGTATTTGAAAAACTTTTTCAATAAAATAAATAAATAAATGAATAAAACCCTTCGTTTCTTTACGTGACATCTCCCATCTCATCCCAGCACCATCCAACCCAACGGCAACATTTGAACGAAATACCACTGCAATGCTTGAATCCCTCTTTGCTTTCCTTGCAGGAAAATGAACTGAAAAATGTCGGGGATGGAAAGGATCCTTTGAGCTTCCAATATGCAAGCGTATCACCCAAGGTATTACCGTGCATCGAGGGCATTTCCGAGAGGAGGGAAGGGGCTGCCCCTTAAAATCAGAGGCAAATTTCTTCGAAATGGCTTAAGGCTGCAACCAAGTTTTCCTGAAGTTTTGGAAGGGTGACATCACGTTGCATCGTTCTCTTCTTCTTGGTTGGTGAATTTAATTCTGGGATGCCCACGTGCTGCCAGGCTCATCTTTCACCACCGAATGTCACTGCCAGAGCCAAATACTGGGGCTATAACAATAGCAATACCACTTAGACTTCACAGTGCTTTCCAGCCCTCTCTAAGCAGTTTACAGAGTCAGCCTCTGGCTCCCAACAATCTGGGTCCTCATTTTACCCATCTCGGAAGGAAGATTGAACTCTTGTCAAGATTGGCAGTGGGCAGAGTTATGGAAGGAAGGAAGCAAAGAAGGGAGGAGGGGAGGGAGGGAGGGAGGGAGGAAGGAAGGAAAGGAAGGAAGGAAGGAAGGAAGGAAGGAAGGAAGGAAGGAAGGAAGGAAGGAAGGAAGGAAGGAAGGAAGGAAGGAAGGAAGGAGTCAGCCTCTTGCCCCCAACAATCTGGGTCCTCATTTTACCCACCTCGGAAGGATGGAAGGCTGAGTCAACCTTGAGCCCTGTCAAGATTGAACTATTGGCAGTGGGCAGAGTTATGGAAGAAAGGAAGCAAAGAAGGGAGGAGGGGAAGGAGGGAGGGAGGGAGGGAAGAAGGAAGGAAGGACAATAGCAATAGCAATATCGATAGCAATACCACTTAGGCTTATATACTGCTTCACAGTGCTTTACAGCCCTCTCTAAGCGGTTTACAGAGTCAGCCTGTTGCCCCCCAACAATCTGGGTCCTCATTTTACCCACCTTGGAAGGACGGAAGGCTGAGTCAACCTTGAGCCTGGTGAGATTTGAACTGCCGAACTGCTGTAGCCGGCAGTCAGCAGAAGTAGCCTGCAGTACCCCCCTCTAACCACTGCGCCATCTTGGCTCTTATCAAGCATCCTTGGACCAATGTCTGTCTGGATTTCTTTCGTTTCTCCTTCGTTGGGTCCTTGCTGCTTTCTGAGCTTGGTTGTTTTCTTGCAGATGTTTCATTACCCAACTGGGTAACATCATCAGTGCTAGAAGGGAGGAGGAGGAGGGCGACTGTGAGGTCCTTGATGCTATCTGAGCTTGGTTGTTTTCTTGCAGATGTTTCATTGCCAAATTAGATAATATCCTCAGTGCTAGAAAGGAGTGGGGTTTGCAGACAGCAGCAGGAGGATGTTCTACCCCAGCTTTGGTGCCCCTACGGACCCCAAAGAACACAGCACACACAAAGTCTGTACAAAACTTAAATTTACTAAAATAACTCAGTCTTTTCCAAACAAAGGCTGTTAATAAACTTTCCAATGATACAGTAATCACAATCTTACTAAGGTTGGCAGAAAGCCCAGAAGCAATTTGCAGAGAATCCAGACGCGAAGGAGAATGAACTAAAGTTGTTCCCTACAAATTGCTTCAGTCGGGGTTCCTCCTTAAATAGGCTAAGGGAGTGGCCAATTAGCCCCAAGACTTACTCTCGAGGAGACCTCCTCCTGAAGTGCCACTCCTGCCTTTTGGCAGCTCTGCGCGCCTGTGCATCGAGAAGAGGCTCCTCCTCTTCATCCTCTTCACTTAAAGGAGCTTCTGAAGGCCCTGGCTGAATCCCTGCCTCTGGCACCACATCTTCTCCAGCCTCCTCAATGTCCGACTCAAGTGCCAGCTGCACAGGCTGCTGGCAAATCACCACACCAGCCTCCTCGCTGTCCGAATCAGCTACAATCCGCACAGGCCTCTGATGGGCTACAACAGAGGAGGAGGGCGGGGGGAGGAGGCCCAAGGGTCTTGGTGCTCTCCGACCTTGGTGATTGTTTCATTACCAAACTAAGTAACATCATCAGTGCTAGAAGAGAGTGAGAGTTTGTGGAAAGGGAGAGAGGAGAAGGAAGAAGAGGAAGAGGAGGATTGTGGGGTCCTTGGTACTTTCTGAGGATGGTTGTTTTCTTGCAGATGTTTCATTACCAAACTAGATAACATTATCAATGCTAGAAGACAGGAGACTTGTGGAGTGGAGGAAAAGGAAGGAGGAAGAGGAAGAGGAGAACTGTGGGGTTCTTGGTGCTTTCTGAGGATGGTTGTTTTCTTGCAGATGTTTCATTACCAAACTAGGTAACATCATCAATGCTAGAAGGGAGTGAGGGTTTGTGGCATAGAGGAAAAGGAGAGAGGAGGAGGAGGAGACCATCCTTGGTGCTCTTTGAGCTGGGTGGTTTACAGACATTTTATTACCCAACTAGGTAACATCATCAGGGATAGAAGGGAGTGGGGTTTGCTCTCTTGTTTGTATACAACTGGCTTGCCCTCTCGGTGTTGGCGGGAGTCTTCTTGGTGGATCTTTGATTTGGTTGCTGTTTGCTGTTTGATTGTTTCCCTGAGATGGTAATTCCTTGACTTTGTTGTTGTGTTAATATGGAAGACCAAAACCTGCTGGAATAACATGGAAGAATAATATAGAAGAATGAAATTGGATATAAAAGTGATATAATACTGGGGTCAGCCTAGAGGATTTCTGAAGGGCCCCCTTTCTTTAGTACTAGGATCAAAAAGTGAAACCGCAGAAATAACAAACCTTCCTCAGCTGGGAAGTTCAGGAAACACCATCATGAGCAAAATATCATACCTAGCCAAACAGAAGTAACCACAGACATAACAGCAAGAAACTTAGGCAGGAACCTAGATAAGTTTGCAAGAACACCGTGTCCTACTTAAGAGGGAACACACGTTAGTAAGCTTGTAGGGTATAGCAGCAAAGTGGGGGGGGGATTGTCGCTGTGGGCTGTCAGAACTGTAACCGATCATAAGATGTCAAAAGTATGGATAAGAGTAACTGCATTAGAATCTTTTGGGGTTCAGTCTTTGCTTCTTGTGTTGCCCTGAACCTTGCGCAATAAACCTCTCCGATCACCCACGGAAATCTTTTTTTTTTTTTTTAATTTGATTTATATGCCGCCCTTCTCCGGAGACTCAGGGCGGCTTACAATGTGCTAAGCAATAGCCTTCATTCTTTTGTATATTTATACAAAGTCAGCTTATTGCCCCCACAAACTGGGTCCTCATTTCACCTACCTTAGAAAGGATGGAAGGCTGAGTCAACCTTGAGCCTTGGCGAGATTCGAACCCTGCAGTAATTGCAGGCAGCTGTTCTTGTGAGTCTTAACTTCCATAACATTGTCTTTTGTGACTCCCTCACATTAAAATCTCTCCAGCTGCTAGAATGGTTGAACTTCAGAACTTCTCATGTCTTCTATAGCTGGGGGATAAATAATCCAAGGAATCTCGCTCCTTGGATTATTTGGTGAACAACGGTTCACCTTCTGTGGGCAAGAATGTGAGTATGGAAAGTGGTTTTTACCCTCGTTTTTTTTTATTTTTTTTTTAAATTTGATTTATATGCCGCCCTTCTCCGGAGACTCAGGGCGGCTTACAATGCGTTAAGCAATAGCCTTCATCCTTTTGTATATTTTATACAAAGTCAGCTTATTGCCCCCACAAACCGGGTCCTCAATTTACCCACCTTAGAAAGGATGGAAGGCTGAGTCAACCTTGAGCCTTGGAGAGATTCGAACCAGCAGAAATTGCAGGCAGCTGTGTTAATGACAGGGTGCACTAAACCACTGTACTATCAAGGCTCTTACAAGGCTCTTTCTCCCCCCACCCCTTCCTGTTCGCTTTCTAGGTGTGAAACAACGATGAGCAGCTCAGAGAAGTCCTTGCTGTAGTAACCAAAGAACCGAGATTTGGCTCTCTGGGGAAAACGCCAGCTCCAAGCCAAACTGGAGAACTTAGAGCAAGTCCTAAAGGTAGGGTTGATCTTGCTACCAAAAACTTTGGAACCTCGTAGAAGGAAATACAGGCAGTCCTCGCAGTGGTGGTGAAATGTAAAATTTGTTACTACCGGTTCTGTGGGCGTGGCTTGGTGGGTGGGTGTGGCCAACTTTTTTTTTTTTAACTTTTAAAAGTTAGGCTGAAGAGGTTGTAAAAAAAATGCTTTTTAAAGCCTCTGACGATCCCAGCTGACTTGCCTGATCGGCAGAGGCTTTTTTTCCTGTTAAAAACATTTTTTCTATAACCTCTTCGGCCGAAGAGGTTGTAGAAAAAATGCTTGTAAAAGCCTCTGATGATCCCAGCTGAGCCGCATGATCATCAGAGGCATTTTTTTTTTTACTTTTAAAAGGGTTTTTTTTGGCCGAAGAGGTTGTAGAAAAAATGCTTTTAAAAGGAAAAAAAAGCCTCTGACGATCAGGGAACTCAGCTGGGATCGCCAGAGGCTTTTAAAGGCATTTTTTTTTTCTACAACCTCTTCGTCCGAAGAGGTTGTAGAAAAAATGCTTTTAAAAATAAAAAAAACAGCCTCTGATGATCGCGCGGCTCAGCTGGGCATGGGAGGGGGGAGGGGGCAGAGATTTTTGCTACCGGTTCTCCGAACTACCTGCCGCCATCACTACCGGATCGAGCGATCCGGTCCAAACTGGGAGCATTTCATAACCCCGGCTCGAACCCTTAACAACCATTCTTGCTTAGCGACGGAAGTTCTGCTTATGAGTCAAGGACTCCCTACGGGCTTGCTAGCTTCATCCGCGGTGGTTTTCTTCCTTCCTCTCCCCAGCATATGAGAGAGGCTGCTGAACGGCGGCAACAGCTGGAACTAGAGCATGAACAGGCCTTGGCTATTCTCAACTCAAAACAGAAGGAAATTGAACTGTTGCAAAAGGTAAGAGAAGGGGCGGGGCGGACCCAGAGGTGGGATCCAAAAATTGTAGCAACCCGTGAGCGTGGTGGGCGGGGCCTACTTTGCCTCCTGCACCATGGTGGGTATGGGTGTGTTTTTGCCCTCCCTGGGCTCTGGAGGCTTTCTTCGAGCCTCCGGGAGGTTGAAAACGGCATCCCCTGGACTTCGGAGGCCCTCCGGAGGCGGGAAATGGGCACGTTTCCAGAACTTCCGGGACGCCCATTTTTTTGTCCTTCCAGAGACTTTGTGCAGGTCCTGCGCTTACCTGGCATCCAAAACGGGCTGCATGGAATCTCCGGGGAGGAGAGGGGAGGGGAGGGGTGGATGGGGCCAGCCAGTTCGGTGAACCAGATGTCAAATTAGCATCCGGTTCGCCAGAACTGGTCTGAACTGAAGAGCCTTGGTGGCGCAGCAGACTAAACTGCTGCTGTTAAAGTAGCACTTAGCGGCCAGCTGCCTGCAATTATTGCGAGTTCAATTCTCACCAGGCTCAAGGTTGACTCAGCCTTCCATCCTTCCGAGGTAGGTAAAATGAGGACCCGGTTTGTGGGGGCAATAAGCTGACTTTGTATAAAATAGAACACCGCTTGGGGGGGGGCGAAAGCCCTACTAAGCAGGTATATACAAAAGTATGAAGGCTATTGCTTAAACAAACAAATAAACAGACAAACAAACAAACAAAGAAACAAATAATAAACAAACTGGTTGAATTGCACCCCTGGACAAACCCAGTAGCCAACAGAAGAGTAGAAATTGCTGCCGAGAATTTTCTGCAGAGTGTTAGCTCTCTCTCTCTCTCTCTCTGCTTTATGAAATTCTCCACTTGCAGGCCGGTAAATTTAATAACCGTCTTTTCTCGTTGCTCCCTACAATGTGATCGGAACAATTATCCAATTACAGGATATATGAAACGTTTCTCCCAGCCGGTTCTTCATCGCCAGCTCCCATAACCAGACAGAACCTTCATAATGTCCTTCAAGAGGAAATGGATACTGATAAGGTTATCCAATAAGGATAGCCATGTTGAGTCAAGAACCCAAGATTGCAGTCTCTTTCTCTCTCTCTCTCTCTGTCTTTCTCCTTTCATTACGACAGGCTCGGATTTCGAAAAGATGTATTATTATGGAAATCCGTGAGACGAGATAAGATAGCCGTTTCTTATTACGTCGCAAAGGACATTTCATATTGCAAACCTCAGACTTATAACTTCTCTCCTCTATGGATCTGATTGCCTAGTTTAATATACAGTTTGGCACACGGATCGAGTAATCCAAGATCCGGGATCTGGTCTTGAGGTCGTAGAGAGCAGAGATGGGGGTGAATGGTTAAACTTTCACCCAGAGTTTGGGTGGGGTTTCTGAGCTACCTAGTGGGACATCACTTCTGGTTCCTGAAATATGCCAAAGCACACACGCACACATATAAACAAGGGTGGGCTTCAGATCCTTTAGCAACGGGTTCGCTGCCCCATTGCTGGGTGGGCGTGGCCTAGTCAGCCGCCTGCACCACGGCGAGGGGGGTGTTTTGTGCCCTCCCCAGGCTCTGGAGGCTTTCCCTGAGCCTCCAGGACAGTGAAAACGGCCTCCCCAGGCTCCAGAGGCCCTCTGGAAGCCAGAAACAGGAGGCTGTTTCCGGACTCCTGGAACCTCCAGTAGGCCCATTTTTTGCCCTCCCAGACCCTCTGCGTGGCCCCTGCACTTACCTGGAATGATGAACGGACTGTGTGGAGATTCCTGGGAGGGGAAGGTTGGGAGGGGCGGGGTTGGGTTGGGTGGGCATGGCGGGGTAGGGCCATTTGAGGGTTTACCGAACTCCAGCGATCCTTTGTTAGAGGATCGCCCGAGCCCTGTCGAACCCTCAGGAGCCCACCCCTGCACACACACATTGAACTGTGCCAAAAAAAAATCCCTCCTGCCCTCCAATTTCCAGAAAGTTTTTCTCTCTTTCAGAAAAAAAACTTTCTGTTTTTTGTTCTCATTTTCAGATGCATTTACAGGTTGCCCTCATCTTTTGAACGATTCATTTAGCGAGCATTCAGTTGGCCATGTAGCCCTTCAGTTACAGTGGCCCTGAAAAAAGTAACTTACAACCAGTCCTTGCACTTACGACCATTACAGCATCCAAGTACCTGACTTTGGCAAAAAAAAAAAAGAAAAGAAAAGAAAAAGAAAGTCATAAAATCAGGTCCTAAAATAACCTCGTTGGGTGGCCACGGAAATTAGGGACTCAAACATGGTCATAAGTCAAGGACTACCATCTGTTTGATGGTGTTTGGAGAACTTCTTCTTTTAAATTTGATTTAATAATAATAATAATAATAATAATAATAATAATAATAATAATAGTAATAATTTTATTTCTATACCGCCCTTCTCCCGAAGGACTCAGGGCAGTGTACAGCCTATTTAAAAACACAGACAAAACAACAATGTAAAATTTAAAATAATTAAATAAATTGGCTCAGATTTAAAACCCCAAAAAATTTAAATACCCCAATTTAAAACTATTGTGTTGATAGTCCGGCCTGGCGGAACAACAGGGTCTTCAGTGCGCAGCGAAACACCCGGAGGTCGGAGATCTTATGAATTTCCGGGGGCAGTTCCTTCCACAGGGCTGGGGCTCCCACAGAGAAGGCCCTCCCCCTGGGTGTCGCCAGCCGACATAACTTGGCCGATGGCACCCTGAGGAGACCCTCCCTGTGGGAACGGACTGGTCGGTGGGAGGCAGTTGGTGGCAGAAGACGGTCTCGGAGGTACCCCGATTTATATGCCGCCCTTCTCCGAAGACTCAGGGCGGCTTACAGTGCATTAAGCAATAGCCTTCATACTTTTGTATATTTATACAAAGTCAACTTATTGCCCCCACAAACTGGGTCCTCAATTTACCTACCTTAGAAAGGATGGAAGGCTGAGTCAACCTTGAGCCTTGGTGAGATTCGAACCTGCAGTAATTGCAGGCAGCTGTTCTTAATAACAGGGTGCTTTAGACCACTGTACTACCAAGGCTCTTATAGGGAAAGATGCTGAAGTTATTTCTTTTCTCTTTGGTTTCCCCTAAAAAAAAATATTTTAATATCCGAACGAGAAACATCATGTAGAATTTTCTTCTGATTTTTTCCCCCCCTTTAAATCAGGGATCTCCAACCTTGGCAACTTTAAGACTTGTGGACTTCAGAATTGAAGTCCACAAGTCTTAAAGTTGCCAAGGTTGGAGATCTCTGCTTTAAATCAACCCACTTCCGAGCTCAGGTGAATGTTTAAGGGACGTATTTCATCTGTTAATTCTCCTAAAAAACCCTCTTTGCCAAAACAAATCCGGTCCAAGATTCTTTGATATTTATGATGTATGATGACTGCCAAATTCCTGAAAATCGCTCCCTTCGTCTGAGCATTAGGAAGAGCATTCAAAACTCGGCTTGGTGGATGCCACAAATGATCATTTGTCTATGGGGATTCTCCATCATCCAGGTCATGGTTGTCCCAAAGATACTTCTTTCAAGAGGCAATTGGACTTTCTTGTTTTTCTTTGAAGACGTTTCGCTTCTCATCCAAGAAGCTTCTTCAGCTCTGACTGGATGGTGGAATGGAAGGATTTATACTCCTTGCAGACGGTTGGTCACTTGCATGGGTTTGAGTACAATGCAGTGAGCTATGTGTAGATCTGTATGTTGGGGAAACAAAACAACCACTTCATAAACGCATGGCGCAACCTAGGAGAACAAACCCATCAAGAATACATTCAACACTTCCATCTGCATTTCAAAGACAAAGGCCACTCTTTTGAAGACTGCAAAGTCCACATTCTGGACAGAGAGGACCTCTGGTTTGAAAAAGAGGTCAAAGAGGCCATCTATGTCAAAATTAAACAGCCCTCTCTCAACAGAGGGGGAGGGATATGACATCATCTATATTCAGTCTGCAACACAGTCCTTTCAGCAGTTCCAAGAAGGCTCCACACTCATTTGCACCACTCAGGCGACCCTGAGCACACAGGTAAACCTCCAGGTGGCCTCAATGTCCCTCTAAAAGGATGCAAATGACCAGCTTTGTCTGCAAGGAGTATGAATCCTTCCATTCCCCACCATCCAGTCAGAGCTGAAGAAGCTTCTTGGATGAGAAGTGAAAAAGAAAAAACAAGAAAGTCCAGTTGCCTCTTGAGAAAAAAGCACCTTTGGACAACCATGACCTGGATGACTGAAATCTCGACAGATTTTTTAGCTATACAATTTGGGATGAGCACCCTTGGAATGGTGTGGGAGTAAGAATGGATTTCCAGAGGAAAAACTGAAGGCTACAGGAACCATTTGCACCACTCAGGTGACCCCGAGGACACAGAGTAAACCTCCAAGTGGCCTCAACGACCCTCTCAAAGGATGCAAATGACCAGCTGTCTGCAAGGAGTATCAATCCTTCCATTCCCCACCATCCAGTCAGAGCTGAAGAAGCTTCTTGGATGAGAAGCGAAACATCTTCAAAAGAAAAACAAAGAAAGTCCAGTTATGCCTCTTGAAGGAAAAAAAAAAAAGCACCTTTGGGATGGTTGTCATTTCTACAAAATTTATTGCAGTGCAAAATAAGATATAATTCTGCCTTTTCCTCTTTCTCTTTTTTTTTTAAGGCTCAGGTTGAGGCAAAGAAAGAACATGAGGGAGCGATCCAGCTGCTAGAGGTAAGCCCGGTCTTTATTTTCTTCGCCACTTGGAGATGCACATAACCTCTGTATTTCAAAGTACAGGTAGTCCTCGACATACAACAGTTCATTTAGTGACGGTTCAAAGTTACAACGGCACGGGGAAAAAAGTGACTTCGGGTCGTTTTTCAAACTTACAACTGTTGCAGGATTCCCGAGGTCACATGATCGAAATTCAGACTCTTGGCCGCTGACTCATATTTATGACAGTCGCAGTGTCCGGAGGGTCACGTGATTCCCCTTTCACGACCTTCTGATGAGCAAAGTCAGCGGGGAAGCCAGATTCGTTTAACAACCGGGCGATTCACTTAACAACTGCCGCCATTCACTGAACAAACGCGGCAAGCAAAATAGGACAAAACTCATTTATTTTATTTTATTTATTTATTTATTTTTTCAGATTTCTTTACCGCCCTTCTCCTTTCGGACTCAGGGCGGTGAACAGCCAAAATAAAACATTTGTAGACAAAAGTTAAAACAGATTTAAAATAATTAAATAAAGTTTGGCCCATAATTTAAAACATTTCAATTAAAATCAATATCAAATTTTAAAAACCAACCATAAAATCAGGACAGCCCGGCTAACTGAAAAAAGTAGGTTTTAAGGGCCCGACGAAAAGTCCGGAGGTCTGGGATCACTCGTATCTCTGGGGGTAGATTTTTCCAGAGGGTAGGTGCCACCACAGAGAAGGCTCTCCCCCTGGGGGTCGCCAGCCGGCATTGTCTGGCCGACAGCACCCTGAGGTGCAAACTTCTCGCTTAATGACAGAAACGTGGGGCTCCATTGTGGTCCGAACCAGCTGAATACCATCTCTGGCGGTCAGTCACATTTTTCAGTGCTGTTGCAACTTTGAATAATCACTCAACGAACTGTTGTAAGTCGAGGACTACCTGCACCCGGGGAATAAGCAAGCCTCAAACATGGAAGGCAGAGGAAGCTTGCAAACACATTTTGCAAAGAACGGAGAGCATACATTTCTCAGTGTAGAAGATGGGAAAATAGTCCCATCAGGACAATTTTAGGATCTTCCTATTGCTAGCGAGACAGGGAAATCAGCAGAGGTGAACAATGTTAGCTTCTGGTTTTATTTCTGGTGGCTTCTACGTGCTTCGAACCAACTTCTGTGATTGTGAACTGCTGCAACCATGTGTTGTAGTTTTGTTTTAAAAAATAATTTGATACAGCTTTACCGGCAAAACATTCCTGTGTGTTTTACTGTTACCGCCAAGTGTATTGTAAAGGTAAAGACAAAGGTTCCCCTCGCACATATGTGCTAGTCGTTCCTGACTCTAGGGGGCGGTGCTCATCTCCATTTCAAAGCCGAAGAGCCAGCGCTGTCCGAAGACGTCTCCGTGGTCATGTGGCTGGCATGACTCAATGCCAAAGGCGCACGGAACGCTGTTCCCTTCCCACCAAAGGTGGTCCCTATTTTTCTACTTGCATTTTTTTTACATGCTTTCGAACTGCTCAGTTGGCAGAAGCTGGGACAAGTCACGGGAGCTCACCCCGTCAGGCAGCACTAGGGATTCGAACCGCCGACCTTTCAATCGACAAGCTCAGTGTCTTAGCCACTGAGCCACTGCATTGATTGACATTGATTGACAATGATTTAAAAAGAAAAGAAAACAAGCGAAAAGTCATTTTTGGTATTTGAGAAAGGAAATTAGTCCGGTCCCAAAAGGGAGGAGGGGTGTCTCTTATTAGGGTAAATGACTTTTCTTTTCTTTATCCTTTTCCTTCTTTTTTTTTTTTGCAATTCTGATTTCACCTGCCGTTTCCCTCCTCAGTGATTTCCGTATCGATCTGACACAGCTTGGGAGCCTATTAAATTTCCCCCCAGATGTGTTGGTTTAATTGGCCCGTCGAGATTGCAAATCAGCAACCATATCGATTTTTTCTCCCCGCCCTTGAAATATATTCCTTTTGATGCATGCTTTCCCCCCTCACCCGCCCTTCTCTTCCCCCCCTTTTTTTTTTAAAAAGCGTGGTAAGTGTACTAGCGGGCTAGTACCTATGTTACTCGCTGAAAACTGGTTTCAAAGCTTGCGTTTGTGGCACTGGATGGGGTTGTGAAATTCCAGCACCTGCCTATCTATCTATCTATCTATCTATCTATCTATCTATCTATCTATCTATTTATTTATTTATTGGTTCGATTTATATCCCGCCCTTCTCCGGAGACTCAGGGCGGCTTACAATGCGCTAAGCAATAGCCTTCATACTTTTGTATATTTATACAAAGTCAGCTTATTGCCCCCACAAACTGGGTCCTCATTTTACCTACCTTAGAAAGGATGGAAGGCTGAGTCAACCTTGAGCCTGGTAAGATTCGAACCTGCTGTAATTGCAGGCAGCTGGTCTTAATAACAGGGTGCTTTAAACCACTGTACTACCAAGGCTCCTGGTGGAATGGCTGCCATTTTCTCAGATAGTTCCTCATCCATCTGGCTGGCCTTTTTAGAAGGAGACAGTGAGAGCATCTTCCATGCTTCTTGAGGTATTCAGATAGCCTGCCAATCTACAACTTTAGGAACTTGGCATGGCGTCCCTTGTTCACGTGGGAAAACTTCATTATTTTTTTTAGCAAAAGGGAGTGCATGGAAGGCAGTGCTGTCATTTCAAGTTTCAAGAACTTCAAGTTTGCATGGCTGTTTTCTCTGCGTCTTTCATCAACCTTGGTTTGAAGTTAACATGAGGGTCTTCATTTGGGTGAGGAGGTGGGAACATTATGCCTTTGAGACTTTCCCAGATTTTGTCCAAACTCTTGTTCCCAAGATACCTTGCAAGCTTATCAACCAGATAGGCAGCACCGAAATTGAAAAGGAAGGAAGGAAGGAAGGAAGGAAGGAAGGAAGGAAGGAAGGAAAAAGAAAGAAAGGAGGGAGGAAGGAAAGAGGAAGGAAGGAAGGAAGGAAGGAAGGAAGGAAGGAAGGAAGGAAGGACCAAACAATTTCAGAAGCTCTGAAACAATTTCAGACCTGCAGCATAGACAGGTTCAATATATGTATTGCTTTGTTAGAGGATGTGTCTGTTGTTTGGCTGTGTTTTGGCTTTTTTGTAAATCTTTCTTTTAACGCACAACTTTTTTTTCCCATCCTGTGTCTTTGTTTTTTTTTCTCCTTCTTCTATGTATTGCTTTGCTTCTCATCAAGATCACTTTGGACAGTATGCAGGTATTTTTAGATGGAGGGGAGAGGGAGGGAGGAGGGGGAAAAAAATACCTTCTCTGGGTCTTCTTCTACCCAACCTCTACCAGATGGGCCCTTGTCAGATGCCCTGGGCCTGTCTTTGCATGGAACCCTAAACACGTTTGTTACCAAAAAAAAAAAAAAAAGCATGTCGAATTGCTTGATGTGAATACTGGCGCATGGCTTGGTGGGATGTCCAAGCGAATGGGAGATCCTTCAGCCCATAAACCTCCAGGCCCAAAATGCTCTGTGTGTCAGGGTTCCGATGGATGCCCTAATTAAATCACGTTCGAGCTAAGCTTCAAAAGAAATCCAGTTATTTATTAGGAGCTTCATGTCGGCACGTTCCCAAGTGAAGCCAGCTCTGACCCTACGTAATTTACGCTCCAATTATGACCCTGTTTTCCCCCTCCCCCCCAGGGTGTGTCATCAATCACATTCACCCAGGGAGCAATTTCGCGGGTTGTAGAGATCACTCCCCTCTGGCCGCTGTGGGTAACCCTGGGAGACAGCCTTGAGAGAGATAAGCATGGAATGTGCATCTGTCTTTGGCTGCTGTGCAGTTTCACCAGTTCCCCATCCCCCTTGGCCTATGGCAACTTGAGAGCAGGCCAGGGTTGCTTTGCGAGTTGACATCATGACTAATAACATCTGGAGATCATGTGCTGGCGGGTTGGCCACTAATCCAAAGAGTGTGCGTTGGCAAAGCCCTGCAAAACTGTTCTCCATGCAAAGTAGAAAGTTTCTCGTGACTGTAGACGTTTGTCTGAATGTACAGTTGATGGTTCTTAACCCTAACCCTAACCCTAGCCAGAAGAGATTCTGGAAGGATCTTGAGTTTGGCTGTAGGGCTTCATAGAGCAGCTGGCAACTCGTAAGATGACTTTGATGAACCTTGAAAGACATTTAGGAACGTCAGACCTGGTTAGAACATTGCTAGGAGACTTCCTGAAATTGCCAGGGCTTAATCTAGATAGGTAATGGAAGGGTATGGAGACCTGTTGATCTCTTGTAGCAATTGTACAAGAGTGGTTTGGGGGCTACCGAACCATTGATGGAGGATGCTTTCAGCCATTTCTAGCACATTCAGTCCACATGTAACGATGGCAGTGACCCGTTTCAGCTTCCAGGTCATGCCTCTTTCTGGCACTTCACATTTGTCCCATCTGAGATCCTGTGGAACAAGAGTTGCAATTCATGGATCTTCATGGAGACTAGGGACACTGTTGAAGAAGAGGTTGCATGGAAGTTTCAGTCTTTTTCAAGGCAAATTGTCAGGGTTCCAAGTAACACCCCTAAGGAAATAAGATCCCAAGGCTTGAAGTTCCTCAAAGTTCCATTTTATTAGAGGTGTCATATTGGCACATCTGGGAAAACCCGAATCTGAAAGTTTCCAGGTTTTCCCCACCCAAAGAAAATTTCAAGTCCCTGCCCATCATCCACATGTCCATCACACGGTCCAATCCAAGCACCATCCCAACTGGAGATGCCTCCCAGTTCCAGCCCTCCAGGTGCAGGGCAAGATGTCCTTGACTCTCTGAGAAAGGAATGTTATTATGACTACATATCACCCTGGCTCCATACAATTCCCCCCTCCCAGTTTCCCACAGCAGTGAACGTGGCAGGAAGATCCAACGAAAAAGATGGCTTCCAGGCCTGACACAAATGTGGTTCAACCAACAACTTCAGAAATGTTCTGCCCCAGCTTTGGATTCCCAGAGAATGTGACACACACTAAGCTTCGCAAACACTGTTTAGTTCCAAACCCCTTTCAAGAATGCAGGCTTCCCGTGCAAAGGGTCCTTATCAAAGTTATTAAGACCAAAGTCCGACAAAGGTTGGCAACCAGCCCAGAAAACCAGATATGAGAAGTGGCTCGCTCTCCAAGATGCTCTGTAGTAATGAGACGTTGTTTCTAGCAAGAAAGCATTAGCTCCATGCGACTTAAATAGGCTAAGGGAGTGGCCAATTATCCTCAAGCCCTACTCTCGAGTAGACCTCCTCCTCCTTTTAGCAGCTCTGCATGCCCGAGCATTGAGGAGAGGCTCCTCCACTTCGCTGTCTCCATTGGAAGGAACCTCTGGAGGTTCTGAAGGCCCTGGCTGAGTCTCTGCCTCTGGCATCACATCCTCTTCGGCCTCCTCGCTGTCCAACGCGAGCGCCGGCTGCGCAGGCTGCTGGTGTGACACCACACCAGCCTCCTCGTCGTCGGGATCAGCCACGATCCGCGCAGGCCGCTGGTGGGCCACAACAAGAAAACAATTTAGTCCTAGATAGAGACACAAAGAAAATAAGGAGTCCAGAGGCCTCAACCATACAATGACGCTGACCGGTGACAGGGAGCTGCAGCAGAGGGATGAAAGAGCCACATGCAGCTCCAGAGCTGCAGGTTGCTGACCCCTGGTATGCATCTTTCCTGGGAAAGGATTTGGACAGGAAATTGCCAATTTTTTAGGGCTGAGGTTGGGAAACGTAGCGCTCCTTTGCTATCTCGATGTACCTTTGCCCTTTGACAAGTCTTGCAGTTCTTTTCTCCTCTCTGTTTGCCCAGGCCAAAGTTTGCGAGCTCGAAGAGAAATGTCGGACGCAGAGTGAGCAGTTCAACCTCCTGTCCAAGGAACTGGAAAAGTTTCGGCAACAAACTGGGAAGTTTGATCTTCTAGGTACTAACCTGTTGGCCTCCTCGGCTCTCCCGGGTTCTCCTAGCAAAACTTTAGCCCAATTGATGAACGGAATTGCCGCCTCTTTGGGTCAAGGTAAGAAGGAAGAGAGGAGGGGGTCAACCTTACCAGGCAGATCAGACGAGAAACACGACTAAATGAGCTAATTCTACTTTATTGTAAGGCTATGTTGATATAATCTTAGAAGTCTGAAAGTACAAGCCTACCACTGTCTCCTTTACAGCCTGAGCATCTCGGGAGGGTCCCTCCTGGGTTTCTTTCTCCACCCTTTCTGCAGTTGTGAGCTATGCTGTCTAATAATAATAATAATAATAATAATAATAATAATAATAATAATAATAATAATAATAATAATAATTGAACAACAACAACAACAACAACAACAACAACAACAACAAAAATAACAACTTTATTGTCATCATACGTGTATCAACAGTATACCCAACAATGAAATTCAAATGAACACCCTAAAAAAAAAAAGACCAGTCCAACACACAGAACAATCCCCAAACACACCCCACCCACCACAATTCCCCACCCCTAAACACCCAAACAATATCCACACAACAGACCAAGTAATGCTGTCCAGCAGCTCACCGATGGTGGCCCTTTAGTTCATGGTTGAGTGCAATTATAGCTCTGGGATAAAAACTATTCAGAAAACGTGTGGTCCGAGTTTTAATTGTTCTGTATCTTCTGCCAGAAGGCAACAGTCCAAAAAGATTGTAAGCAGGATGGGAAGAGTCTCTGAGAACGTTATGCAACTTCCTCAAACAGCGAGATGCGAAGATGTCGTCCAGGGCTGGTAACTGGAGCCCGATGATATTCTGGGCAGTTTTAATGATTCTCTGTAGAGCTTTTTTGTCCGCTACAGAGCTGCTCCCATACCATGCAAGAATGCCGTATGTCAGGACACTCTCAGTGGTGCTGCGATAGTAGGACAGAAGGAGATGCTGAGATAGATTTATCTTCCTGAGCATTCTCAGGAAGTGCAGCCTCTTCTGTGCCTTCTTCACAAGCATGTTAGCATTCATAGTCCATGAGAGGTCCTTCAAGATATAAAATGCCCAGAAATTTAAAACTACCAACCCTCTCCACCTCCTCACCATTTATGTACAATGGTAAATGTACATCTCTCTTCCTCCTGAGCTCAATTATAAGTTCTTTAGTTTTTTTGGTGTTAAGTGTAAGATTATTATCTGATCATCCCCTGGCAGCGTCTCTTGGCCCTGTCTTCCAGGGTCTTTCCCAGATACCATTATAGCTGTATGCTTTACAGCTTGAGAAACTAGGGAGGGTCCCTTCTAAGCCTCTTCCTCCATCCATTTTGCAGTTGTGGGCTAAGCGATCTCTTATCTGACCTATCCCCCTGGCAGCATCTCTTGGCCCTGTCTTCCAAGGTCTTTCCTACATGCCATTATAGCCACTTGCTTTACAGATTGAGAAACTAGGGAGGGTTCCTTCTAAGCATCTATCTCCACCTGTTATGTTGCTCTGGGCTACGCTGTCTCTTATCTGTTCATCCCCTAGGCAGCATCTCTTCTCCCCATCTCCCAAAGTCTCTCCCACCAGCCATTACAGCCATTTCTTTACAGCCCAAGAAACTAGGGAGGGTCCCTTCTGAGCCTCTTACCTTGCCCATTATCCATCTGTGGGCTAAGCAATCCCTTATCTCCCTGATGGCGAACCTATGGCACGATTGCCAGAGGTGACATGCAGAACCCTCTCTGTGGGCATGTGTGCCATTACATTATTCCTCTGGTTTCCGGCACGCACATGTGTGCCAGCCAGCTGATCTTCATGCGTGCCAGAGCCCCAGAAACCCAAAAAGCTTTTGGCCAGCGTGCACATGTCTTTGAGGTCTTTGAGTTTCCGGGTCTCCAGTGCGTGCATTCCAGTATGGGCACTTGATGCCGAAAAGGTTCACCATCACTGCCTTATCTGATTGTTCCTAGGCAGCATCTCTGTTCTTCATCTGTCACGTGGTCATTCCCACATACCGTTACCTCAGGTCATCTGATCCCAGGAGGAATGATCCTTCTAAATGTTTTCTAAAGATCCTTTTAATAATAATAATAAAAAAAAGGAGAATACCTTGTGGCAAAAGAAAACGTCAGGCAGATCCAACATAATTTTTATTGGCAAGAACGCCTCTGGGGGCACCCCAGCTGGCATTGTGAGAAGATAAACACAATCAATGTTTTGTACGTCAGTCATTTGTTCACCCGTGCTGAAACGAAGGTGAAAAGTAAGATGTGGTCATCGGCAGTATATCTTCTCCAAGCTTGTCTCCAAGGAAATGGAGAAACGTAAGTTCTCAACTGTGTAATTGGCTTCAAATTTCTAAAATTGCCTGTCAAGTTAACCTCTAGAATGTTTTGTAAACTCTGCCCTGTTGTGACTTGTAGACACCAAATTAAATCAACTTTATCCGGCTGGGAAACCCATTTTTCTCTTCTCCTGGAAAACCCGGATGGAATTCAGGTTACAGAACTTCTCTTCAGGTTGATCTCTGCTTGATGTAAGGAAGTGACAGGCTGTGGAACTAAAAACAGAACTATTCGCATTCATGTAACAGAGAGGAACAAGGGTTTTCGGAAAGGAAAATCGTGTCATATGTCTAAAATCATTTTTAAGAGTCATATCGAAATTGAGTAGCTCTGGTTGCCTGGCTTATTTTAATGACTCAGAGTACTTCTGACAGTTTGATAGTTACAGTTCTTTTAAATGTGATCTTTTAGACTAGAGGAAAGGTTGTTTCTAGGCAACTTAGTGAGTTACAGTAAGAAAAATAGTAAGTTAAAATTGAATTGCATGGAGATATTGTTTATTTAAAGGAAAAGGGATGTGGTGGCTCAGTGGCTAAGGTGCTGAGCTTGTTGATCGAAAGGTCGGCAGTTCAGGAGTTCGAATCCCTAGTGCCTCGTAACGGGGTGAGCTCCCGTGACTTGTCCCAGCTTCTGCCAACCTAGCAGTTCGAAAGCAGGTAAAAAATGCAAGTAGAAAAATAGGGGCCACCTTTGGTGGGAAGGGAACAGCGTTCCGTGCGCCTTTGGCGTTGAGTCATGCCGGCCACATGACCACGGAGACGTCTTCGGACAGCGCTGGCTCTTCGGCTTGGAAACGGAGATGAGCACCGCCCCCTAGAGTCGGGAACGGCTAGCACATATGTGCGAGGGGAACCTTTATTGTTTACCTGGATGAATGTTTAAACCAGCTTTTTCCAATCCACCCATCATTCCCGTTCTGCTTATCCTACAATTCTTAGTATCCTTGATATGTTAGTTTTAAGACATAATAAAAACAATCATTGTAATAACCATCTTGCTTGGAAATGCCTATTATTCTTAGATGCTACCTCAATAATAGTTGGCTAGGACTTGAATTGTTAAACTTCCACTCATCATAATAACCACTTGAACACTATCGGCATTGATAATCAGTCAGTTGCAAACGGCAGCCATAGTTGGAACAGCTTACATGCCGCAACAAGACTTTCCATACCATCCGCCTATCCCAGATACTTGGGGAGACATGATAAGGTGAACAAACATGCCAAATTCAGTCTAAACAAACAACTGAACAGCAGGCTGGCTGGGGAATTCTGGGAGTTGAAGTTCACTTATCTTAAAGTCGCCAAAGGTCGAGGAACGCTGGTTTAGAATTCTGAATTGCGCATCTGGATATGTTGATTGGCTTCAACTCAGGCACAGACTTAACCCAGATAAGACCGAGTGGCTGTGGGTATTGCCTCCTAAAGACTATGTTGATTGTCCATCCTTGGTTCTGGGGGGGGGAATTGTCCCCCTCAGAACGGGCTCGCAATTTGGGTGTCCTCCTAGACTCACAGCTAAGATTAGAGCAACATCTGGCAGCTGTAGCTAGGGGGACCTTTGCACAGGTTCGCCTGGTGCACCAATTGCGACCCTACTTGGATCAGGAGGCTCTCCTCACAGTCACTTATGCCCTTGTCACCTCACGGTTAGATTATTGCAACACCCTCTACATGGGGCTACCCTTGAAAAGTGTTCGGAGACTACAGTTGGTCCAGAACGCAACCGCGCGAGCTGTCGTGGGTGCACCTAGGTATTCCCACATTACACCAATTCTCTGCAAGCTGCACTGGCTCCCTATTGGTCTCCGGTCACAAGTCAAGGTGCTGGTTATTACCTTTAAAGCCCTACATGGCTCAGGGCCAGAGTATCTTCGAGACCACCTTCTGCCGCATAGCTCCCAGCGACCGGTAAGATACCACAGAGTTGGTCTCCTCCGGGTCCCGTCAGCTAAACAATGCCGGCTGGCGGGCCCGCGGGGGACGGCCTTCTCTGTGGCTGCCCCAGCTCTTTGGAACCAGTTACCTCCTGAGGTCCGGACCATCCCCACCCTATTGGCCTTCCAAAAAGCGGTGAAGACCTGGCTTTTCCAGCAGGCCTGGGGCTGTTGATCTCGCTCTTGTGATCTGGCGAGATCCGGCCATGAATGGCGTGAATGAGTTTTTAATGTTTTTAATGTTTTTAATTTTTAAATGTTTTTTATAATTATTTTTTAAAATGTATTGTGAGCTTCCCTGAGTCTTCGGAGAGGGGCGGCATTTAAATTGAATTAATTAAATTAAATTAAATTAATTTAAATTAAATAATTAAATTAAATTAAATTAAATTAAATTAAATTAAATTAAATTAAATAAATTAAATTAAATTAAATTAAATTAAATTAAATTAAATTAAATTAAATTAAATTAAATGATTAAATTAAATTAAATTAAATTAAATTAAATTAAATTAAATTAAATTAAATTAAATTAAATTAAATTAAATTAAATTCAAAACAAGCATATACCATATTTTTCGGACTATAAGACTCACCGGAGTATAAGATGCTCTCCCAATCAGCTGCTCCCAGAGGTGAATTTTAGCAACAGGTTCGTTGGTTGTCAGCTCTGTACCTTGCTTTTTCAGCCTCTAAAACCTCTGTTTCAGAGGCTTTTTTTCTGAAGCTCTGTTTCAGAGGCTTTTTTTTCTGAACCTCCGTTTTGGAGGCTTTTTTTTTTTAAGCTTCATTTCGGAGGCTTTTTTCAGCCTCTGAAATCTCCATTTGAAAGACTGGGTGGGGCTACATTCGGAGTATAAGACACACCCAGATTTTCACCCTCTTTTTTGGGGGAAAAAGGTGCGTCTTATACTCCGAAAAATATGGTAGTTTGTTTTGGTGTTTGTGCCAATCCAAGGAACAAACATTAACAGAACAGACAGATTAACAGAGTTGGAAGGGACCTTGAAGGTCATCTAGTCCAACCCCCCGCCCAAGCAGACTCTACACCATTTCTGAGAGATGGCTGTCCAGTCTCTTCTTGAAAGCTTCCAGTGATGAAGCTCCCACAACTTCTGAAGGCAGCTTCTGTTCCATCGGTTGATTGCTCTCACTGTCAGAAAATTTCTCCTTATTTCCAGGTTGAATCTCTCCTTGATCCATTATTCCTTGTCTGGCCTTCAGGTGCTTTGGAAAATAGCTTGACCCCCTTCCTCCTCTCTATGGCAGCCCCTCAAATATTGGAAGATGCTATCCTGTCTCCCCTGGTCCTTCTCTTCACTAGACTAGCCAGGCCCAGTTCCTGCAACCGTTCATCGTATATTTTAGCCTCCAGTCGTCCCCTAATCAAAAGCAAAGGCAGATTGGGTTACAAGCTGTACAAATGAAAGCTCAGAAGCTACTGAGAATGGAGCTTGGGAGCATCAGCATTGTTTTAACCTGTGCAATCACTGTAATTAAATACGGAGGGCAGCAAGATGCATTTACTCAAGGATCTAGTGGAGCTCATAACTGACAGATCGATACCAATATGACTCGCCTTGCATAAATGCTCTTTTAAGTGCCAGCGGTTAATACGTGCTTGGAGACCTTTAAATTAAGTCTATCACACCGGAAGCTTTTTCTTTTCACGTAGCTTTGTTTTGACGAAGTCTTCTTCTCTCTTTGTGAGTGGTTTGTTCGTTGAGCTGTTTGCTTGGAATTTGCTTACCAGTCATCCGGATTTTTTTGCATGGCCACTTCTGAGTTCTGTATTGCTTGTTCTTGCTTTTATATCGCACCTTGCTTTCCCCCAGGAATGTTGAGTATTTTTATCTTAACTTTTGATGGCATTGGGTTATATTTAGGATCGTATTCTCAGAAGATGAAAAAAGGACAACCCCCCCCCCCCGAAAATAAGCCCTCCCAAAAAATATTTAAACACAAGCGCAGTCAGTCCCCGTCATTTTCCAGAGATGGAAATCAGGTAAGATGGCAAGTAGAGTCCCGTCTTGCTTCACGTGCCCCAAAATAATAAGATCTCCCCAAAAATAAGGCCAATCGCTTATTTTGGGGTTAAAAAAAATATAAGACAGGGTCTTATTTTTGGGGAAACACGGTAGAGGTGGAGCTCTTGCCTCACAATCAGGAGGCTTGTGAGTTCGATCCCTGGTAGCAGCAGATATTTCTCTCTCCGGGCACGATGAGTAAATATCAACTGCGAACTCTGCATTGGCAACAGGAAGGGCATCCGGACAGTAAACACTCAGCTCCATTCAGTTGCCCCGACTCCACCCCGATGCAAGGGATTACAGGATCATTAAAAGACAACAACAACAACAACAAAAACCAGTGTTGGAAGGGAGTGGGGTTTGCAGAGAAGAAGAGGAGGAGGAAGGGGAGGAGGGAGGAAGAGGAAGCAAAGGAGGAAGAGGAGGAGACATTAATTTGAACTATACTTTGTTTTGTTTTGTTTTTTGGAAGTTTTATTCAATTTGGATGTTGCCCAATTCTGGATTAATCCAGTTGGTTTCTATAATAAATACATAAAGGCGAACTTTCTCATTGCATGCAATGAGAAAGATGGCGTCTGTTATTTCAGAATCTCCCAAGGTCGTTCCTACATTCGTTATTGTGATTGCCTGTTCAGCTGCACTGGCTGCAGGATAACTAGTGTGACGTTCAGTTGTGTGGTTGCTTTTTTCCATGCAGATCATGAAAGTCCCTCCCGAGGCCAGTTTGTGATCTCTGAGTATACACATCCCCTGCAGCTGTCTGGTGACAAACCAGAACAACTCTCCATCAGACCAGCTTTCCTCGTCCGCTCGCGTTCTGGCATCCCAAGATGCAGATTTGAATCAGGCGTACGTAGACGATATACCTTCCTTGACTGCAAGCAAGTGGCTTTGCTGAAAATGAATGATAATAGAGACAGTAAACGGATAGAAGAGAATATGGGTAGCTCAGGGTTGAACTGTGGGGTCCTTAGTGACCTCTGAGCTTGGTGGTTTCCTTGCAGATGTTTCATTATCGAAGTAGGTAACATCATCAGTACTAGAAGGGGGTGTGGATTGAGAGGAGGAGGAGGAGGAAGAAGACTGTGGTCTGTTGTGCTCTTGGAGACTGGTCGTTTTCTTGCAGACATCCCATTATCCAACTAGGTAACATCATCAGTGCTAGAAGGGAGTGGGGTTTGCTTTATATAAGAACCTTGCCCTGTCAGTGTTGATGGGAGTAATCTTGGTGGTTCCTTAATTAGGCTGCTGTTTACTGTTTGTTAGTCTAAGCTAGTTCCTTGATTGGGTATTATTCATTGCTTGTACATAAACAGAGAACAAACCCTTCCCTTCTAGCACTGATGATGTTACCTAGTTTGGTGATGAAACGTCTGCAGGAAAGCCACCAAACTCAGAGAGCACCAAGGACCTTACAAGCAGTAAATAGTGCTTAATACCTTAATTTAATGTAATCTGTGTCTCTGTTGATGAATGTTCATGAAACTTTCACACACAGAAGATTCAAGCAGTACTTCTCCGAATGGCTGATGAATCAGCAACAAAAAGAGCCTTGGTAGTACAGTGGTCTAAGGCACCCTGTTATTAAGCTGGTTATTAAGACCAGCTGCCTGCAATTACTGCAGGTTCGAATCTCGCCAGGCTCAAGGTTGACTCAGCCTTCCATCCTTTCTAAGGTAGGTAAATTGAGGACCCAGTTGTGGGGGCAATAAGCTGACTTTGTATAAATATACAAAAGGATGAAGGCTATTGCTTAGCGCATTGTAAGCCGCCCTGAGTCTCCGGAGAAGGGCGGCATATATATCAAAATATATTAAAAAAAAGCCTCCATCCAGTTGACGGTTCGGTCCGTGACCGAATTAGCGAGGAAATGTGCGGAAACAGGATTATCTTCTCATTCCTCAAAGTGGCTTTCCACTTCCAAAATTAGTTGCCCATAAGGGTTGTGTCAATACTTAGATTGAATAGCCAAGAAGTAGATGCAGACAGAGATAAAGATCCGAGAGAGGAATATGGGAGGCAAGTCAAAAAAAGCCTAGCAATTAAAGTATTGAAGCGGTCAAGAGATGATGGATAGATGATTTCTCTTTTTTTGTTGTTGTTCTGATTTGCTTTTCTTTTTCTTTCTCTTTCCTTTTTGTTTTAGGTAGGTGACATGATTAGAAGTTAGGTAGGATAGAAAGAAAACCTCTTTTAATAAAAGGGTGACATGATTAAAATAAGAATAAGAGACAGAAATAAGAGAAAGGGGGAATATTAGTGTATACACTTTTATATAATACAATAAAAGCCATAACAAGAGAAAACATGGAATAACTGAATAATGACAGACTGTAACCTAATATGCATGATTATTAGAAACATATAAGTTGGTTGAATGTAATAACTATGATTAATTTTACTAGTTTTATTTGTATTAGATTGTATGACACGCAGGTGCCACACTGTTCACGCATGGATACGTATCTATAAAACAAAATAAAAAACTTAAAACAAAAAAAAAAGTTGTGTCAGTTATAAGCTAAATGGATGGGGCGAGTCTCTTACATTGCAACATCTAGCAATTCTCTTTGCTAGGAAAAAAATAATAATTCTCCAGGCTCTGAATGCCTGTTGTCCATCTCATCCATCTTAAAAGCTTAGAAGAATGATTCAGAAGAAAAGTCACCAATGTATGGCCAGTGCATTTTGTTTTAGCACATTTCTTTTTTTAAAAAAAATTATTTATAAAGTTTTTATTTTTATTTTTCATAAACACATTTACATGTACAGTCATTTCCATCATTTTTCATTCTTTTAACTTTCATTTTTCATTTTTACTTTTTCGGGGCTGCTCTTTTACCCTTTACCTTTGCTCCAACTTTCTTCTTCTCCTCTCCTTCTCTTCCTTCCTGTTTCTACTCCTACTTCCTTCGTTCTTCCTCTCCTTCTCTTTTCTACTTCCCCTTTTCTTCCCCCACTCCTCTCTTCTTCCCCCCTTCCAACCTTCTCCTCTACTCCTCTTTTCCCTCCCTCTTCTTCCTCTCCTTTTCCCTTTCTTCTTTCTCCTCTCCTCTCCTCTCCTCTCCTCTCCTCTCCTCTCTTCTCCCTTCCTCTCCTTTCTTCTCCTCTCCTCTCCTCTCCTCTCCTCTCTTCTCCCTTCCTCTCTCTACTCCTTCCCCTCTCTCCTGTTGTTTCCCTTTTCAGTTCAATCTAAAGTGGTTTTAGCACATTTCTATTCCTTATTAGCACCTCTGCATGGGCTACTGTGTTTAATTTCTCTGTGTCTGTCTTTGAAATTATCACTTTCCTAAATATATAAGATGGTCTTCACGCATGCTTAATCTCTCCTGAGACACGGTTTGGTGGCTTTCCCCCCCTTTTCTTTGATGTTAAGAGGAATCCCATTTTGTGCAAGTTGACCTGTGCAGGTGGACAGCTCATCCTGCTTAATATCTTGCTCATGTTCTTGTTGCAGATGGAGAACGAACGGAATTCTAATACCTCAAAGCAAAGATATTCGGGGAAAGTCCACCTGTGCATTGCCCGATACAGGTAATACGGCCTTGTCCAATAAACACTTTCAACCTTAAATTTGTGCCAGTTTTAAATGCTTGATTTGAAAGTGGAAACAGAGGGGCACGTAGCTGCCAAAGTTTTATACTTGACGCTGAGCTTGTCAGCTGACAGACCAGTTCGAGACCCAAGCTCTGCGCGATGGGGCGAGCTCCCATTACTTGCCCCGGCTCCTGCCCACCGAGCAGTTCAAGAGCGTGCAAATGCAAGTAGATAAAGAAGGTAGCACTTCGGTGGGGAGGTAAAAGGGTTCTGTGTGCCTTTGTTGTATAGTCATGTTGGCCACATGACCACGGAAATTATCTTCAGATAACGCTGCCTCCCCTGGCCAAGAAACAGAGCTGAGCACTGCCCCCTGACATGACTGGACAGGAGAAATTTTTACCTTTACCCAGTGGTGGGATTCAACAGATTTAACAAGCCCTGCCCCACCCCCCACATGCACCCCGTTTTGGGCCTAGGAGGCCTCCCTGAAGCCTCCTGGGAGCGAAAACAGGCCACCGGGGGGGGGGGGGGGGGGGCCCCCCCCCCACCCCCCGCCCCCCCATTTTGGGCCTAGTAGGCCTCCCTAAACTTACCTGGGAGCCAAATATGGGGAGCATGGGGACTCCTGGAAGGGGAAGGGAGGGGAAGGGAGGGGTGGGGCAATTTAACTACCGGTTCACCCGAACTGACCCGAACCGGCTGAATCCCACCATTGTCTTTACCTCCTCATGAAAGATTCTGAAGACGAATCACAATCTTGTGTTTTCCTTCAGTTACAACCCATTTGACGGGCCAAATGAAAACCCCGAGGCAGAACTTCCTCTCACCGCTGGAAAATATCTCTATGTGTACGGAGATATGGATGAAGATGGCTTTTTTGAAGGTTTGTGGGAGATGGGGGGAGCCCTAGCAGTCCCTTGATTTAAATATTTTTCTTTTATTGACCTAGCACCGCCCTTGAGATACATGGAAGCTTAGTGGCCATTCATCTTAAGCACGTGACTTAGTTTATGCGATGAATGGTTGAGTCTATCTCAAGTCTAAAAAGAGAAGGACTAGGGGAGGGATGACCTGACAGCAGTCTTCCAGGACTTGAGGTGTTCTCACAGAGAAGAGGGGGTTCACTTATTCTGTAGGACACCAGAGGGTAGGACTAGAAGTTAGAGATGGAAGACCCATGAAAGAGAGAACCAAACTAGAAGTAAGGAGAAGTTTTCAGACACTTAAGAACAATTAATCCATGGAATAGCTTGCCTTCTGGAGTTGTGGGCACTCCATTGCTGGAGGTTTTCAAAAATAGACTGGACAACCCTTTGATGGGGAAGGTCTAAGGTTCCTACCTTCAGCAGGGATTGGATTTAGAAGACTTCCAAGATCCCTTCCAGCCCGATGATTCCAGGTTCTACTCTAATATTTTGATAAGAAGCCCCCCTGATTTCTATCACCAGCAACACTTTAAGTCGGGGATCTCCAACCTTGGCAACTTTAAGACTAAGCGAAGCTGGCTGAGGAACTCTGTGAGTTGAAGTCCACAAGTCTTAAAGTTGCCAAGGTTGGAGAGCCCTGCTTTAAGTAACTAATACTCTTCTCAAGATTTCATTGAAGCTCTTAAAGTTGCCAACGTTGGAGAACCCTGCAGTAGCAATAGCACTTAGACTTATATACCGCTTTACAGTGCTTTACAGCCCCTCTCTAAGCGGTTTACAGAGTCAGCCTCTTGCCCCCAACAATCTGGGTCCTTATTTTACCCACCTCGGAAGGATGGAAGGCTCCTGGCAGCCAGCAGAATTAGCCTGCAATGCTGCCTTCGAACCACTGCACACGAAGGAAGGAAGGAAGGAAGGAAGGAAGGAAGGAAGGAAGGAAGGAAGGAAGGAGAGAGAGGAAAGGAAGAGCAATAGCACTTAGACTTATATACTGCTTCACAGTGCTTTTACAGCCCTTCTCTAAGTGATTTTCAGAATCAGCCTATTACCCCCAACAATCTGGGTCCTCATTTAACCCACTTTGGAAGGATGGAGGCTGAGTCAACCTTGAGCCACTCAGGACCGAACTCCTGGCAGTTGGCAGAATTAGCCTGCAATGCTGCATTCTAACCACTGCGCACCATGGAAGGGAGGGAGGGAGGGAGGGAGGGAGGGAGGAAGGAAGGAAGGAAGGAAGGAAGGAGAAAAGGAGAAGCAATAGCCCTTAGACTTATAGACCACTTCACAGTGCTTTTACAGCCCCTCTCTAAGTGGCCCACCTTGGAAGGATGGAAGGCTGAGTCAACCTTGAGCCTGGTGAGATTTGAACTGCAGGCAGCCGGCAGTCAGCAGAAGTAGCCTGGAGTACTGCACTCTTAACCACTGCACCACTGCGGCTCACGAAAGTACCCTTATCAAACAATTAGTAGATGACTCTTAACTGGGAGAGGGGATGGACATGTTCTGGGAACACGACTGGTACGCGTCTTCCTTTTCTCATATCTCTTTTCTCCCCCCAAGGTGAACTTCTAGATGGACAGAGAGGCCTGGTTCCATCCAACTTTGTGGATTTTGTGCAGGATGAGTCTCGTTTATCCAGCGGGTTGGGCAGCGAGCCAGAACAGAATGTCCTCAATCACAGTAGTCACCCGGTCGAAGGAGAAGGTCTCCAGGATACCAGTTTACCGGCCCAGTTAAACGCCGGCGTCCTCAACAATGGTGCAGGAACTCTGGATGTGAACATTGATGAAATTGGAGAAAACATTGTGCCTTACCCTAGGAAAATAACCCTTATCAAACAATTAGCCAAAAGTGTCATTGTGGGCTGGGAATCTCCAGTCGTGCCACCTGGATGGGGAACCATCCATAGCTACAACGTCTTGGTAGACAAGGAAGTACGCATGACCGTCCCCTTGGGGAGCAAAACGAAAGCTCTCATAGAAAAATTGAACATCGCGACTTGCACTTATCAGATATCCGTTCAAAGCGTCACCAGCCGGGGGAATTCCGACGAACTGCAGTGCACCTTGTTGGTCGGGAAAGATGTCATCGTGGCACCTTCGCACCTTAAGGTCGACGGCGTCACCCAGATTTCGGCGGAGATCAGCTGGCTCCCCACGAACAGCAACTACAGTCACGTCATCTTCCTCAACGAAGAGGAATTCGACATTGTCCGGGCTGCCACCTACAAGTATCAGTTTTTTAACTTGAAACCCAACATGGCCTACAAGGTTAAAGTTTTGGCCAAGCCCCATCAGATGCCCTGGCAGCTGCCTTTGGAGCAACGCGAGAAAAAGGAAGCTTTCGTAGAATTTGCGACCTTGCCAGCAGGTAGGGCTTGAGTCTCACAAAGACCCCTCCTCCTCCTCCTCCTCCTCCTCCCTTCTAGCACTGATGGTATTACATAGTTGGGTAAGGAAACATCTGCAAGAAAGCAACCAACCTCAGAGAGTGCCACCGAAGACCAGCAGGTAGGCTTTGAGTCTCACAAAGACCCCACAGTTGTTGTCCTCGTCCTCCTCGTCCTCGTCCTCCTCGTCCTCCTCCACTGATGATATTACCTAGTTGGGTAATTGTTAAGGATATTGTTGTTGTGTTACCAACCAGCAGAGTGTAGAGCACAGAGAAACGTTGCTGAGAGCAATGAATAAGAGATGTGCAAACTGGTTTATCAAAAGTTTACTTTATAGTGAAAAAACAATCTCATAGTCTTTAAATCAGTCCAAGTCTTTGCCAGTTAAATCAGTCCAGTAGTTACAGATATCTTCTTACCAAACAAACAGTAGTTGGTTAGAATAACAAACTCACTCTGGTTCTCAAACCACAATGGTAGCAGATCCATCCAACGATGATAGCACAATGATAGCAACTCCACACACAATGGTAGCATATCATCAACTGAATACGTTACAGTACCTTTCTTAAATACGTTCACAACCAGGGATTATCTAATTACAGCATGACTCAGCATTACAATGAATCAGCAGGAAAACTTTAAAGTCACACAATACATATTCATATTAAAGTCACAAAACACATATATTGCCTGGACAACTTTTTAGGCTCAAACCATATCCTAACGGTAATGAAACGTCTGCAAGAAAATAAACAATCAGTTGAAGAGGTTGTAAAAAAATGCTTTTAAAAGCCTCTAATGATCAGGCAACTCAGCTGGGATCATCAGAGCTTTTTAAAAGCATTTTTTCCTACAATCTCTTCGGCCAAAGAGGTTGTAGAAAAAAATGCTTTTAAAAGCCTCTGACAATCTCAGCTGATCGTCAGAGGCTTTTTTTTTCTTTTGAAAGCATTTTTTTCGGCCGAAGAGGTTGTAGAAAAAAATGCTTTTAAAAATTAAAAAAAAAAAGCCTCTGCTGATTGCGTGGCTCAGCCGGGCATTGGGGAGGGGGGCAGGGATTTTTGCTACCGGTTCTCCGGACCACCCACCGCCATCGCTACCGGATCGGGTGATCCATTCTGAACCAGGAGCATTTCACCCCTGAGTTGGGATGTTCTTCTCTAGGAAAGTTCTCACCGCTTGCTCCGTTCAGCCACCAGGTTGCCAAACCTTGAGAGAACTCATGAAATATACATCTCCTTAATAGTTGCGTAGTTATTTTTAGGAGATCCTTCCATCTAGTGCACTTCTATTTCCGGATGGGAGGGGGGGGTTATTTAAGGAGCAAAGGAGCGCTCACAATGCAAGCATTTCAAAAACGTTTCCAAAGGACTAGGATCCTTCACAGTAGATCAAGGCTACTACGGGAACGGATAATGTATTTGTGAATGCAGGGGCTCTCTGGGGACGGCCATCCCACAATTATTTAACTTAAAATGGAGCTTTGTTTGTTCAGGGGATGGGAGGGGAAATTCTGGCTGAGTTCTTGCAAAGCCAAAGGAGAAATGACCAGATGCATTCTCATCCCTCATCGGGCTTGCTTAGAGGTTTTAGTGGTTTGTCTGAAGGCTGTTAGCTGATTGGTCCAAGATATTACGGGGTCAGCGTGGTGTAGTTTTTACAATGGTGTATTAGAGTTGGTTTCAGGAACACGGTGGCTCAGTGGCTAAGACGCTGAGCTTGTCGATCTGAAGGTCGGCAGTTCAGCGGTTCGAATCCCTAGTGCCGCGTAACGGGGTGAGCTCCCGTGACTTGTCCCACCTTCTGCCAACCTAGCAGTTCGAAAGCAGGTAAAAAAAATGCAAGTAGAAAAATAGGGACCCCCTTTGGTGGGAAGGGAACAGCGTTCCATGCGCCTTTGGCGTTGAGTCATGCCGGCCACGTGACCACGGAGACGTCTTCGGACAGCGCTGGCTCTTCGGCTTTGAAACGGAGATGAGCACCGCCCCCTAGAGTCGGGAACGACTAGTACATAGGTGCGAGGGGAACTTTTACCTTTACCTTTATTAGAGTTGGTAGAATGCAGGGATGAATCCAAAGGTTTAGGAGAAGAAGCAGTGAGGTCAAAGTAAAGACTTAATAGATGCATTTGTACCATCAAGTGTTTGGTTTGTCAGGGAAGAGGAGGGGGGGAGGAAGAGGAGGAGGAGGAGAAGGAGGAGGAGGAGGGGAGCAGGGGCAGGAGGAGAGCAGAAGGAGGAAGAGGAGGAAAAGGGGAGCAGGAGGATGAAGAGAGAAGCAGGAGGGGAGCAGGAGGAGGGGAGCCAGAGGGGGGCAAGAGAGGGGCAAGAGAAGAAGAAGGAGGAGAGGAGCAGGAGGAGAGCAGAAGGAGGAGGAGAGGAGCAGGAGGAAGAGATACCACAGGTGGTATTCAGCAGGTTCTGGAGAACCGGTAGCCAAAATTGTGAATAATTCGGAGAACCGGCAAATACCACCTCTGGCTGGCCCCAGAGTGGGGTGGGAATGGAGATTTTGCAATATCCTTCCCCCAGGAGTGGGGAGGGAATGGGGATTTTGCAGTATCCTTCCCTGCCACGCCCATCAAGCCACGCCCACAGAACCAGTAGTAAAAAAAAATTGAATCCCACCACTGGAGGAGACCATAAGATATTAGAGGATTTCTATCAATCCAGGCATTTAGAAGAGGAAGTGATCTACTGTAAACTCAAGGTAAAGACCTAGTAGACTTAGACGGACCCCCAAGAATTTGACTTGTTAGCAAGAGGAAGAAAAAGAAGAAGATATTTCTATTGAGTTTTTTATGTTTATTAACAAAAATGTATTAATAAAACATTTTTTTAAAAAAGGATATTTTTTTTTTCAATTCCAGGTCCGCCAGCTCCACCTCAAGACGTTCGAATTCAAGCTGGTCCAACTCCTGGAATAATCCTGGTTTCTTGGAAGCCACCAGTCCTCTCCGCCACGGGGACCTCCAACGGAGCCAATGTGACTGGCTATGGTATTTATGCAAAAAGTCAAAGGGTAGGTCTGTACTTAGAGAAACCTTACATTATTGGGTTTTTTTAAAAAAGAATAATCTAAGGATGACAGCCAAATTTGCTAAAGGGACAGATGTTCAGCATCATCATAAAAATAGACCAGATTAACCAAGTTGGAAGGGACCTTGCAGGTCATCTAGTCCAACCCCCTGCCCAAGCAGGAGACCCTACATCTGCCTAGGATTGAACTCACAACCTCCTTGTTAAGGATATTGTTGTTGTGTTACCAACCAGCAGAGTGTAGAGCACAGAGAAACGTTGCTGAGAGCAGTGAATAAGAGATGTGCAAACTGGTTTATCAAAAGTTTACTTTATAGTGAAAAAACAATCTCATAGTCTTTAAATCAATCCAAGTCTTTGCCAGTTAAATCAGTCCAGTGATACAAAATCTTCTTACCGCACAAACAGTAGTTGGTTAGAATAACAAACTCACTCTGGTTCACAAACCACGATGGTAGCAGATCCATCCAACCGATGATAGCACAATGGTTGCAACTCCACACACAATGGTAGCATATCATCAACTGAATACTTTACAGTACCTTTCTTAAATATGTTCACAACCAGTGATTATCTAATTACAGCATGACTCAGCATTACAATGAATCAGCAGTAAAACTTTAAAGTCACACAATACATATTCATATTAAAGTCACAGAACACATATATCGCCTGGACAACTTGTTAGGCTCAAACCATATCCTAACACTCCTGATTGTGAGGCAAGAGCTCCACCTCTAGGCCACTACACTAGGAGCACTTACCTTGGTAAAGTGTAAGCCACCCAGAGTCCCTTGGGAGTTGAGCGGCATAGAAATTTGATAAATTAAATTAAATTAAATTAAAGGTACCTTGGTCTATATATCAAATGAGTGACACATTGGGATCCCCATGTGATGATCCGGGGCACAGCACAGAGATAACACAGGCAGCTGGCAGTTCAAACCGCCCCTTTATTGCTCCAAATTTCCTCAAACGCTCCCACGTTTCTGGCAAGTCCCAGAGCAAAGTGATGACAAGCACACACACAGACCTCCAGCAGCCTCTGGCTGCAAGTAGTCCGGCACAATGCTGTGAGCACCACGGCTGCAAAGAAATCCAGCAGTGGTGGGTTGCTACTGGTTCGCCCCAGATTAGGCGAACCGGTAGCGGCAGTAGGAGACTCCGCCCACCTGCTCGGACACTTCTGCCCATCCGCAGAAGCGGTGCGCGTGCGTGCGAGCGAGTGCGCACCCATGAGCGAACCATTAGCAATGTGTTTTGAAGCCCACCCCTGAGCAGGGCATATCAAGGAGTCCAGGAAGCGAAGGGGCAAGGCAAGTAATCCAGAAATCCAGAAAGAATGCAAGGAATCCAGGAAAGTTCAAACGTCGGCAACAGCACTCAACACTCCATGAATTCAGTGTTTGTTCCCGACAAATGACCCTCCCCACAGTGTCTCCTAAATACACCTCTCAGTCCCCAGGTGTGCCTTGTGAAGAAGGGTGGGGTGCTCTCCTCCCAAGTAGATGGGTCAGTCTACGCTGTTCTCACCTTCTCTCCACTCTCCGTGCTCTAGGATCAGGAGGGGATTGGTCCTTGTTCATCGCCTGAACTCTGTCTCTCATGTTCACTGCTTAGCCCAGTGATGGCTAACCTTTTGGTTGTTGTGTGCCAAAAGCGCGCTCGCAATGCACATGTGAACACCCCCCACATGCCCCCTTTTGGGCTTAAGTAGGCCTCTCTGCAGCCTCCTGGGAGCAAAAACGGGCCGTGTGGGAGCCGGTCCTTCTCCTCCTCCTCCTCCTCCTCCTCCTCCTCCTCCTCCTCCTCCTCCTCCCTTCTAGCACTGATGATATTACCTAGTTGGGTAATAAAACATCTGGAAGAAAACCACCAACCTCAGAGAGCGCCAAAGACCCCACAGTCCTCCTCCTCCTCCTCCTCCCTTCTAGCACTGATGATATTACCTAATTGGGTCATAAAATGTCTGCAAGAAAACAACCAAGCTCAGAGAGCACTAAAGACCCCACGGTCCTCCTCCTCCTCCTCCTCCTCCTCCTCCTCCTCCTCCTCCTCCTCTTCTTCTTCCTCCTCCTTCTCCTCCCTTCTAGCACTGATGCTATTACCTAGTTGGGCCATAAAACGTCTGCAAAAGAAAAAACCCCAAACTCAGAGAGGCGCAAAGACCAAGCTCATTTCGATCCCGAGCTACAAACATTCTCCTCGATCGTCCCTAACGTATTTGCATTTGTATCCCTGCATTCAGGTGGCTGAAGTGATGTTTCCAACCGCAGAGAACAGCACCGTGGCGTTAGCCAAAATCCAGAGCCTGGATGCCAGAGAAGTCCTTGTCCGGACACAGTCTGCCCAAGGGGAGTCCATGGACTCGTCGAGCGCTCCCATCCCACCTGACTTACTGGTGCCTCCCCACCCTCCGCCAGCTTCCAAATCTAAGCCATTATCAAGTGCCAGTGTCCCAGATACCAAAGAGGAACATTTGTGTCCCCACGGGAAAAGGGACGACTCCTGGGAACAGACCCACGCGAACTCTCCCATCCACGGACACACTCTGGAACCTCCCAACTTCCACAGCCCGCTTCACGGGCGGCGGTCGCCGTCTCCCAACCGGATCCTCCCGCAGCCGCAGGGCACCCCTGTCCCTAACACGGTCGCCAAGGCCATGGCACGAGAGGCGGCTCAGCGGGTGGCAGCCGAAAGCAACAGGGTAAGCAGAGTTGCCGCTTCAGACAACTGCAAGACAACTTCCGAGTCTGGTTGGGGCTGGGGTTGGGTTTCGTTCACTGGGAATAGTTTTCAAGGGTCAGTGTGCCTCCACTGACAGGCCAGGATTTTGAGGGGGAGGGGAAAAGAGGCTTTTGGAGGAACGGGAAGAGTTAGGAATTAGCATAGAAGGAACTGGTGCTAATTGGGGGAACATTGAAGTCCTCAATTCTGGGTATCAGAGGTGGGTTTCAGCTGGTTCTGACCAGTTCTGGAGAACCGGTAGTGGAAATTTTGAGTAGTTCGGAGAACCGGTAGTAAAAATTCTATCTATTCTCTGCCTCCCAAGTCCCAGCTGATCGGGAGGAAATGGAGATTTTACAGTATCCTTCCCCTGGAGTGGAGTGGGAATGGAGATTTTACAGTATCTTTCCACTGCCACGCCCACCAAACCATGCCATGCCCACCGAGCCACACCCACAGAACCGGTAGTAAAAAATTTTGAAACCCACCACTGCTATGATTAAAAGTGCTATGGCAATGCAACTCATACATGCATTCATGCATACTACCTGTATCATCTAGCTGAAGAAGTATCTCAAGAACATAACAGGTTTTTCTTTGCCAAAATTGACCTTTTTTAAAAAATTTGATTTATATGCCGCCCTTCTCCGGAGACTCAGGGCGGCTTACAATGCGTTAAGCAATAGCCTTCATCCTTTTTGTATATTTATACAAAGTCAGCTTATTGCCCCCACAATCTGGGTCCTCAATTTACCTACCTTAGAAAGGATGGAAGGCTGAGTCGACCTTGAGCCAGGGGAGAATTGAACTCGCAGTAATTGCAGGCAGCTGGATGTTAAATGCTGCCTTAGGCGGCATTAGCCTCCTACGCCACTCAGGCTCCTGCAGAACTCCTGCAGGCTCCTTCCAGAACGAACAACTGCATTTCCACAAAAATGCAGTTTTCAACAAAAATTTCTACAAAATTTTCTATAAAAATTCTTTTCTACAAAAAAAACAAAACTGTTATCTTAACTTTGAGTAACAGTAAAGATTCGGGCCGTGATGGATTTCCCCGTGAAACGAGACAAAATATTTTCTGATCTCTCTCTTCCTTAACCTTTTAATTTCTCCCAACATTTGCTTCTTCATTATCACTTAATGAAGCCCATAAATACAGATCTATCAAAATCAAGGGAAAGGTCAAACTCTTATCCTTCAATGATTAAGATGTGTCTCTGAATAATATCGATCCAAGTGAAAACCTGGGGGTTAAATGAGTTTTCTTTTCTTTCTTTCTTTTTCCAGGTTTTTTTTATTTTTTATCTTTTAACAAACGTATCAATGTGTGAATAGTGTGGCACCTGGGTGCCATGCATTCTAATACAAATAAAACTAACGACTTTTCTGGCCACAGCTGTTTTAAGTGAAAAATCACTGTGGTTGATAAGTGAGTCACCCAGTTCTTAAGTGAACCTGGCCTTCCCCGTCGACTTGGCTTGTGAGAAGGTCACAAGATGGGATCACGTGACCTTGGGACACAACAACTGTCATAAATGCGAGCCAGTTGCCGAGCGTCTGAATTCTGATACCATGATTATGGGGAAGGTGCCAAGGTCATAACTGTGAAAAATAAGTCACATTTTTCACTGCTGTTGCAAATTTTGAACGGTCACTAAACAAACTGTTGTACGTCGAGGACTAGCTGTAACTGAAGGCTTGCTGATTATGAATATTCATACTTAACATCATCTATCGCTCATGCGTATTTATTTTATTTATTTATTTATTTATTTATTGAATTTATGTTGCCGCCTATTCGCACATGGCAACTCAAGGCGGCTTAACAGAATATAAAACCTCATTTAAATATTCATGATGTCCTAAGTTCACCCCAGAGGTAGAAAACATGAATCCAACTATCTTAACCTAGCATCACCATTTGACCCCAAACTTCTCTTTAGAAAGCTGCAGGTGCTACCTCTACCCACTTGGCATTCCATTTTAGAACCACAGAAAAAACCATGGCTACCAACCTGCCTTCCATGGAGGACCTGTATACTGCACGAGTCAAAAAGAAGGCTGTGAAAATATCTACAGACCCCTCACATCCTGGACATAAACTGTTTCAACTCCTACCCTCAAAACGACGCTATAGGGCACTGCACACCAGAACAACTAGACACAAGGACAGTTTTTTCCCAAACGCCATCACTCTGCTCAACAAATAATTTCCTCAACACTGTCAAACTATTCACTAAGTCTGCACTACTATTAATCTTCTCATCGTTCCTATCACCCATCTCCTCCCACTTACAACTATAACCTTGTTGCTTGTATATTTACAGTGTATATTGTTTTATTTAGTTTCCTAGTATGATTTGATTGTTTATTTAGTATCCTATGACTATCACTGTTGTATCTTATGATTCTTGATGAATGTTTTTTTTTAATGTACACTGAGAGCTTATGCACCAAAGACAAATTCCTTGTGTGTCCAATCACACTTGGCCAATAAAGAATTCTATTCTACCCTCAAAACGACGCTATAGAGCACTGCACACCAGAACAACTGGACACAAGAACAGTTTTTCCCTGAACGCCATCACTCTGCTACACAAATAATTCCCTCAACACTGTCAAACTATTCACTAAGTCTGCATTACTACTACTATTAATCTTCGCATCGTTCCTATCACTCATCTCCTCCCACTTATGACTGCATGACTGTTAACTTGTTGCTCTATCCTTACAATATATATTGATTGTTTCCTAGTATGATTTGATTGCTTATTTGTACCCTATGACTAGCATTAAGTGTTGCACCTTATGATTCTTGACGAATATATCTTTTCTTTTTATGTACACGAAGAGCATATGCACCAAAGACAAATTTCTTGTGTGTCCAATCACACTTGGCCAATAAATAAATAATTCTAATTTCTAAATTCTAATTCTACATTCTCTCTTCTGGAACCCCATAGATGGAGAGGAGGACCGCATTTCCAGAAAGGAGCAACGCGTTGCAGTACGCCAACTCGGATGAGGAAGAAGATGGCTACGACTCGCCCAGAGTCAAACGAAGAGGTGCTTCGGTGGACGACTTTTTGAAGGGCTCTGAACTCGGGAAACAGGTAATGGACATCTATCTCCTTGGCGATGGGACAGGAGAATAAAAGCATAAAATTCATAAGAAAGATGCTTTTGGATGTTCACCATCTCTTTCCTCTTTAAAATGTTTTCAAAAAAGAGGGAGGAGGTTTAGCAAAAAAGATCTCGACAAACTTGAACAATGGGCCCTATCCCACAAAATGAATTTCCATGTGGAGAAAAGCAAAGTTTTAGATTTAGGCAAGAAAAACCAAAGATATAAGTCGGGGGTGAAATGCTCTGAAGCAAACTGCTACCGGTTCGCTTTGCTACCGGTTTGCTTCGTGCATGCATGCGCGGTGCGGCAAAACGTGTTCGTCGCATGCATGCGCACCACAGGCACTACCACGCAGTGCTGAAAAAGGAGGATTAAGAAGCCTTTTCTGAGTCTGCAAAGGTAAGAAGAACAGCAAGGGAGGGGAACAGCTGTGCTCTTCCCCCCCCCCCCTCGATTTCCTGCTTTCTAGCAAATATAAATTGCGTGGCACAGCTGATGGTCGGAAATACCAGTTCGCCTGAATGTTAGGGCGAACCGGTCTGAACCGGTAGCATTTCACCCCTGGTATAAGTACAGATTAGGCAAGAAAACATATAAGGTCTCCTGCTGTTGTGGCCCGCCCAGTGGCCTGGCGGATCATGGCTGATCCCGACGACGAGGAGGCTGGTGTGGTGTCGCAACAGCAGCCTGCGCAGCCGGCGCTCGCGTCGGACAGTGAGGAGGCTGAAGAGGATGTGGTGCCAGAGGCAGAGACTCAGCCAGGGCCTTCAGAACCTCCAGAGGCTCCTTCCAGTGGAGAGAGCGAAGTGGAGGAGCCTCTCCTCAATGCTCAAGCACGCAGGGCTGCCAAAAGGCAGGAGTGGCTACTCAGGAGGAGGAGATCTACTCAAGAGTAAGGCTTGAGGATAATTGGCCACTCCCTTAGCCTATTTAAGTCACACGCGGTTAGTAAGTTTCTTGCTGGAAACAACTTGTAATTATCATCAGAGCATTTTTGGAAAAGTCTTATCGTATCTTGTTTTCTGGGCTGGTTGCCAACCTTTGCCGGACTTTGGTTTATTCTTGCTACTTAATAAATTTGATAAGGACCGTTGGTGTGTGTCAATATCCTCGGGGATCTGGAGCCGGGACAGAACACCTGCCTTGAGCAGAGAATTGGATTAGTAGACCTTATGATTCTCTGTTCTCTGTTCCCTTTCTCCCTCTCCTCTCTCTCAGCCCCACTATAGCCACGGGGAGGAATATCACACGGAAAGCAGCCGAGGCTCTGATTTGTCGGACATCATGGAAGAAGATGAAGAAGACTTATACTCAGAGATGCAGCTGGAAGATGGCGGGCGGAGACGAGTTAGCGTAACCTCGCATAACACCCTGAAGGTAAAAAAGAAACAATGTCCCCAAAGGTCCTTTTTTTTTTCAAGAGGCAACTGGACTTGCTTGGTTTTTCTTGAAGACATCTCACTTCTCAATCCAAGAAGCTTCTTCAGTCAGAACTTCAGCCATGGGGTGGGGGAGGCGCGCCACATTCCACCACGCTCCACCCGCCCATCCTGTGCATGCGCACACAACCCCCCCAGGTTCGCCTGATCCGCCAGTTGCGCCCCTTTCTGAGTCGGGATTCCTTATGCACAGTCACTCACGCCCTCGTCACTTCCCGCCTGGACTACTGTAATGCTCTCTACATGGGGCTCCCCTTGAGGAGCACCCAGAGGCTCCAACTGGTCCAGAATGCGGCCGCGCGGGTGATCATGGGAGCGACATGGCGCTCCCATATAACACCTCTCCTGCGCGAGCTGCACTGGCTCCCGGTGGTCTTCCGAGTGCGCTTCAAGGTGTTGGTTCTCACCTTTAAAGCGCTCCATGGCTTAGGGCCAGGGTATTTATGAGACCGCCTGCTGCTACCAACAACCTCCCACCGGCCAATACGCTCTCACAGAGAGGGCCTCCTCAGGGTGCCGTCGGTCAAGCAATGTCGGCTGGCGGCCCCCAGGGGGAGAGCCTTCTCTGTGGGGGCACCCGCCCTCTGGAACGAGCTACCTCCCGGAATACGGCTGATTCCGGACCTCCGTACTTTCCGTAAGGCCCTGAAGACTTTTTTATTCCAGCAAGCCGGCCTGGCCTGAATAGGTTTTATGGGTTAGTTTTTTAATTGTATAGCTAGGGGTTTTAAATTGGGAGGCCGTTTAATTTAATTTATTTTTAAATTATTTTAACTTTTATATTGTATGTTATTTTAATTCTCGGCTGTTCACCGCCCTGAGTCCCTTCGGGGAGAAGGGCGGGATATAAATTTAATAAATAAATAAATAAATAAATAAATACGCGTGCATCGCCTGCATGCGCCCCTCCCACGCATCCTGAAAATCAGCTGGCCGGCAGGAGGCTTGCTCACATGCGTGGTGGAGCTGAGCTGGGCGACGGCTCGTGTACCCGCGGAAAGAGCTCCGGGTGTCAGCTGTGGCACGTGTGCCATAGGTTCGCCATCCCGGGTCTAAGACAGGGGTGAAATCCAGCAGGTCCTGACAGGTTCTGGAGAACCGGCAGCGGAAATTTTGAGTAGTTCGGAGAACCGGCAAATGCCACCTCTGGCTGGCCCCCGAGTGGGGTGGGAATGGGGATTTTGCAATATCCTTTCTCCCAGGAGTGGGGAGGGAATGGGGATTTTGCAGTATCCTTCCCCCAGGAGTGGGGAGGGGATGGGGATTTTGCAATATCCTTCCCCTGCCATGCCCACCAACCCTTGTTCTTTTAATCAATAGTGAAGAGATTTTGTACTGAATAAAGACAGGGTACTGGCATTGAGAGAGAAGGGTTAGACTCCAGCAGTAGCCAATTCTGAGATGAGATTTTTGTCTATGTAGGGTCAACCACTCGTCTTCTGTATGCCTGGTCAGGTTCTTCTCTTGACTGCAGTAAACATGCCTGCTAAAGTTGACATCTCGCCCGATAGACCACGCTAGGACAGCTGTTCTAATCATCTGTTTTATTTTCACAGATTCCCATTCAAAGCATGACATAGTTCTTCCCTTGAATAAGAGCCGCATGCTTTCAAGCTCACCATTGCTGTACAACTAATTCTGTCTTTGTTTTCCCCCCTTTTTCCTTTCCTTTCCTTTCCTTTCCTTTCCTTTCCTTTCCTTTCCTTTCCCTCTACTCCTCCCTCCCTCCCTCTTTCCTTTCCTTTCCTTCCCTTCCCTTCCCTTCCCTCTACTCCTCCCTGCCTCCCTCCCTCCCTCTTTCCTTTCCTTTCCTTTCCTTTCCTTTCCTTTCCTTTCCTTTCCTTTCCTTTCCTTTCCTTCCCTCTACTCCTCCCTCCCTCCCTCTTTCCTTTCCTTTCCTTCCCTTCCCTTCCCTTCCCTCTATTCCCCCCTCTCTCTTTCCTTTCCTTCCTTTCCTTTCCTTTCCTTTCCTTTCCTTCCCTCTACTCCTCCCTCCCTCCCTCTTTCCTTTCCTTTCCTTCCCTTCCCTTCCCTTCCCTCTATTCCCCCTCTCTCTTTCTTTCCTTTCCTTTCCTTTCCTCTCCTTCCCTCCCCTTCCCTTCCCTTCCCCATTCTTCCCTTCCCTTGTTCCCCATTCATCTCTTCCCCATTCATCCCTTCCCCATGTATCCCTTCCCTTCTGTTCCCCATTCTTCCCTTCCCTTCCCAATTCTTCTCTTTCCTCTCTCTTTCCTTCACTTCCCTCTCTCTTTTTAAAAATTGCACACTGTTTGTTCTCCTTGCCTGCCTGCCTTTTCTTTCTTTCTTTCTTTCTTTCTTTCTTTCTTTCTTTCTTTCTTTCTTCCTTCCTTCCTTCCTTCCTTCCTTCCTTCCTTCCTTTCTTTCTTTCTTTCTTCCTTCGTCCCTCCCTCCCTCCCTCCCTCCCTTCTTTCTTTCTTCCTTCCTTCCTTCTCCTTCTTTCTTTCTTTCTTTCTTTCTTCCTTCCTTCCTTCTTTCCTTTCTTTCTCTTCCTTCCTTTCCTTCTTTCTTCCTTCTTCCTCCTTCCTCTCCTTCTCTTTCTTCTTCTTTCTTTCTTCTTTCTTCTTTCTTTCTTTCTTTCTTCCTTCTCCCTCCCTCCCTCCCTCCCTTCTTTCTTTCTTCCTTCTTTCCTTCTTTTTCTTTCTTTCTTTCTTTCTTCCTTCCTTCTTTCCTTTCTTTCTCTTCCTTCCTTTCCTTCTTTCTTCCTTCTTCCTTCCTTCCTTCCTTCCTTCTTTCCTTTCTTTTTCTTTCTTTCTTTCTTTCTTTCTTTCTTTCTTTCTTTCTTTCTTTCTCTCTCTCTCTCTCTCTCTCTCTCTCTCTCTCTCTCTCTCTCTTTCATTCATTCATTCTCGGTGACTCTTAAAGGAATGCTATCAGCATATAACCACTGAAACAGCTTTCCAGGAGTCTCCCAATTTTGCCCGCCACCGTAAAAAACTGTTCAGTATCCCCGAAGTGGCGGAAGAGGAGGGCGATCACGCCGAACGTTTCCACAAGCAGGGATTACGGAGGCCCCACCAGGCCCTAGCTAGAGAGGGTAGATCGACTAAGGCCTCCTGTCAAGAGCATCCTACCTTCTGGCACCCCGCCACCAAGTCACGGAGTTTGGAGGACACCGAAGAACGGGGTGGTAGACCCAGCAGGCCTTCTACCCGAAGCCCAGATAGTGGTTTGGACTGTGGCAGCGAAGAAGAAGAATCACGGTTTAATTTCCCTCCGGTGCATGAGACCTTGGCTGCCCGTATGTCCCCTACCTGCAGTCAGGATGAGGACAGCTCTTCCTTGGCTTTACGGCCGCTCTTGGCCCGTCGGAAAACTTTAGTCCGGCAGAGTAGCGTTGAAGAAGACTTTGGAGACCCCATCCAGCTCTTTGTGGACTCTCCAAACCAGGAGGACCTTCCAGCTTGTTACAAGAGGAAGCCTGAACATCAGGGATGCTGTAGAGCAGGACATTTGGTCCATGAAGATGCTGAGGGAGGTTGGAGTAGCCCCTCGATAGAGAACGAAACGAGACTCGCTTCTCTTCCGCTTTCAAAACATCCCTCCCGAAAGTCCGAAGCCCCACCGGTGTGTTACAATCCGAACTTCCTTCTAACATCTTGCCTGCCCAATCACTTTCTTTATTTTCGAATCAAAATCTTTATTTCTCTCTTTCCGTTTTGAGTTCGTCTCTCCCCCACCCCCCATATGCACGTGACTCTTTTTCTTTCTTTCTTTTTCTTTTTCCCATTTTTTTTTCCTTCTTCTCCACCTCTCAATAATTAGCTTCCCATCTTAATCTGCGTTGCTTCATCGGCTTCCTTAAAACTCCCCCCCCCGGTTTCGTTTTCTCGCTTTCTTTTTTTATTTTTTGTCTTCTTTTAAAAATAAAAAAAATAAAATAAAATGAGATTCAATTGCTTTGTTGGTCCGTTTATGATTTCATTGTTCCCCACAGGCCACGAATAAATATCTAAATAAAAATCATTTTAAACACCTGTCTTTTCCCCCCTCTGTTTTCTTTAAAAGGACAACTGAAACGATGTTTTAATTAAGGGTTAGCTGAACTGCCATCGTCCTGACATTTGGGGTCGCTCTTTGATTTTCTTTCTCTTGTTTTCCCTTCTTTATATTTGTGCTCTCGATTTTGAGCTCGCTCAGTAGAATAGATATATCATGTATAATGTGATGCACACTTTCAGCAACCACAACAAAACACACACAGCCAAACAATGAATGTATTTCCATCCCTTCCCTCCTTCCGTTCCATGTCTGCTTTCAATCGTTTTATCTTTTTTTTTTTTTAGTTGAGTTTATTTTTAACCTCATTCCAGATTTTCAAGGATGAACATTCTCGCCAATCCTTGGGGTGCCCTAGCTTCTTTCTATCCCTGCTTGATTTTTTTCCACTCTTGCTTGTTTCTTTTTTCATTTGAACAAAAAATCAGAAACCATCTCTTCTTGCCTTTGAAGTTGCAAACTCTTAACTCTCTCAGCATGCAAGGAAGACCCATCATCCACTCCCCAGATGTTAGCCTCTTTTTTAGGCGACGGAAAGACGGTGAGCCTTTGAGACATAGATGGGTGTTGTGTCTTACTTAAGGAATGCGATTCTCTCCAGTTGATCCAGATCGTGGTTTGCTCCCGGTGTAGCAAACTAGAGATGTTCCAAATATTCCACTCGGCGTGATAAGGAGACCCAGCAGTCCATTATTCCGAATCCGTGTCCTTCTCAGTGGAATGCTTTCTTCTTCTTTTTTCAAAATTGCCCATCGACCAAATTGATGTGTTTCCACCCTGCCGATGGTTGGTTATTTGCAAAGGCATTCTCCTGAAAGTCCTTCAAGAGAATTTGGAAAGCTTCTTTAACAATTTTTTTTAAAAGTTGGGAAGGTGGCAGCTAAAGTAAAAGAGAGAGGAAAGACGTTGTAGGCAAAGGATGGCAAATATTCTGCAAATAGGACAGGCTAAACTCTCCAAAAAGCCGATAAACCTACCAGCACATCCAGATTTCGTAGTTCCGAGGAACAGCCACATTCTCAGCAAAGAGGAGGCCAAAAGACGCAACCACAAAGGCAAAAGAAAACTTTTAATTCTCCTTTTTTTTTTTGGTTTGAATGTGTGACTGTTGTCTGCCAAATATGTGCCATGTCCGGATGGCAATTTTTCTGTCTCTCCGTCCGTCTGTCTCTCTTTCTTTCTCTCTCAGGTTTAATGGCATCTGTTCCCTCTTCCCCCCCCCCCTTTTTTTTTCTTTCTTTCTTTCTTTCTTTCTTTCTTTCTTTCTTTCTTTCTTTCTTTCTTTCTTTCTTTCTTTCTTTCTTTCTTTCTTTCCTTCCTTCCTTCCTTCCTTCCTTCCTTCCTTCTTTCTTTCTTTCTTTCTTTCTTTCTTTCTTTCTTTCTTTCTTCCTTTTCTTTTTCAGCTAACCTTTCAGTTAAAAAAGAAAAGTTTAGTTGCCTTTAGAAACGTACGTTTTCGGAGAACAATTCGTTTGATTTTCTTCCATGCAAATTATTGTGTATTCTCTCCCTCGTTGCCTTTCACACCTTCTACGGAGCAGTTGGGTAGCTTTTAAATATCTTTCTCTCCCCCCTCCCCTCCTCTTTTATTTTCGGTTGGTGTGGACCTTCAGCTCTTAAGTAAGCCCATGTCATCCAGGCGGCCGGATCGAGGGGAGCATCCAGATCGAAGATCATCTCATGGCACTTCGGGCCCTCAGAGGTCAAGGCCCATCCAGGCCCCTTCTATGGGTGAGTTGATGGTGATCCATCTGTGTGGTTGGTTGGGGAGGGGGAGGGTTATTGAGTTTAGGAGAAGAAGGTTGATTTTGAAGACCTGCTTTGATGCAATGGAAGGGAACAAGTGTTTTTTCTGGTGAAACCGGTCTAACAGGACAACCTGGTCTATCCAAATATGGGATGGATGTCAGGTTTTCTGGCTGTCTTCAAATAAATTGCATCGCAAACAAAGTCTTTTATAAAACAAATTTCCATTTTATTAAGCACAGCACTTTTTACACTGACGCGTTGCAGCCGGCACTGACGTGCTGACCCAAAACCCCTCCTCTTCCTTCCCCCACTCCTCTGCATTCATTGGCCATCTTCCCAATCATTCACCCCTAATCTACTGCTCCAATTCAAAGAATTTCCCCCCTCCCATCCATCTCCTAGGGGACATTATCTCCAGAGGAAATAAGTAGGTGAAAGGCAACCGTCCCATTGCAGACGCCTGCGTTCTCCTCCTTATGTCAGCACTAGGATAAATGCATCTTGATGTGCTGACAATGGAGCTTACTGCGTCCGCTTTCGCCTTTCAGCCCCAATCCAGGAGCCTTTGCACAAACTAATTTTTGTGTTGAATTTATGTTTTACCGACAAAGAAATAAAGGGAGGCTAGAGTAGATCTAAGGGACGTGGTGGCTCAGTGGCTAAGACACTGAGCTTGTCGATCGAAAGGTCGGCAGTTCAGTGGTTCGAACCCCTAGCGCCACGTAACGGGGGGGAGCTCCCGTGACTTGTCCCAGCTTCTGCCAACCTAGCAGTTCGAAAGCAGGTAAAAAATGCAAGTAGAAAAATAGGGACCACCTTTGGTGGGAAGGGAACAGCGTTCCGTGCGCCTTTGGCGTTGAGTCATGGCGGCCACATGACCACGGAGATGTCTTCGGACAGCGCTGGCTCTTTGGCTTTGAAATGGAGATTAGCACCGCCCCCTAGAGTCAGGAACGACTAGCACAGATGTGCGAGGGGAACCTTAGTCTTTAGTATAGATCTATTTCAAGCTATTTAGCTCTTGTCAGCTAGCCATACCCTTTCTGGGATTTGAATCCAGGCTACTTGCATATTAGATAGATGTATTAACCTCTAAGCCACGGGCTCTCCTTGCTTTGTCGGCTATACCAGGGGAGAGATTAAGTGTTTTTTATCAGAGCAACTGGTCTATCCAACTATGGGATGGAGGATACTGCTTCCGCTTTCACCTTTCAGCCCCAATCCAGGAACCTTCACAGGCAGTCGCTTTCACGACAAACTAGTTTTTGTGTTGAATTTATATTTTACCGACAAAAGAATTTTTTAAAAAAATAGTTTGTCATGAAAGCGGCTGAAAGGCGATAGCAGAAGCAGTATGTTCTGTCCTATATCTCACGCTGACTGCTTCAGGGACTCCATCCAGCCACCTCGTTCTCTGCCGTCCCCTTCTTCTTTTGCCCTCCATCGTTCCCAGCATTAGGCTCTTCTCCAGTGAGTCCTTCCTTCTCATTAGGTGGCCAAAGGATTTGAGTTTCCTCTTCAGGATCTGGCCTTCTCAAGAGCAGTCAGGGTTGATCTCCTCCAGGACTGCCGGTTGGATCGCCTTGCAGTCCAAGGGACTTTCAGGAGTTCCCTTGGATCGGTCGATCATCTATTTATTGTTGTTGTTAGTTGTGAAGTCATTTTCGACCCATTGTGACTCCATGGACAATGTTCCTCCAGGCCTTCTTGTCCCTACCATCCTCTGGAGTTCATTTAAGCTCATGCTGACTGCTTCAGTGACTCCATCCAGCCCCCTCCTTCTCTGCCGTCCCCTTCTTCTTTTGCCCTCCATCGTTCCCCGCATTAGGCTCTTCTCCAGAGTCCTTCCTTCTCATCAGTGGCCAAAGTATTTGAGTTTCCTCTTCAGGATCTGGCCTTCTAAAGAGCAGTCAGGGTTGATCTCCTCTAGGACTGCCGGTTGGATCGCCTTGCAGTCCAAGGGACTTTCAGGAGTCCCTTGGATGGTCGATCAATCTATTTATTGTTGTTGTTAGTTGTGAAGTCATTTTCAACCCATTGTGACTCCATGGACAATGTTCCTCCAGGCCTTCTTGTCCTCTACCATCCTCTGGAGTCCATTGAAGCTCAAGCCGACTGCTTCAGTGACTCCATCCATCCACCTCATTCTCTACTGTCCCATTCTTCTTTTGCCCTCCATCGTTCCCAGCATTAGGCTCTTCACCAGGGAGTCCTTCCTTCTCATTAGGTGGCCAAAGTATTTGAGTTTCCTCTTCAGGATCTGGCCTTCTAAAGAGCAGCCAGGGTTGATCTCCTCTAGGACTGACCAGTTTGATCGCCTTGCAGTCCAAGGGACTCGCAGGAGTCTTCTCCAGCACCAGAGTTCAAAGGCCTCAGTTCTTTGGCGCTCAGCCTTTCTTATGGTCCAACTTTCTGCATATGGTTACCATACACAATTTGATCAGGCACATCGACTTTGTTCACCCTTGCTTACATTGAGGGTCAGCTGACGCTTCTCCCTTGTGCAAAGTCTCATAATTAGAAATGACTTTAAATAGTTCAAACTTCACACAATTCACACCTTTTTTTTTTGTGCCCATGTGATTTAAATAGCCGCCTTATTTTTAACAGTTCCGTAGAAGGAGAGTCCAGCATGGAATATGGCTGGTGCAGATGAGTGACAAATTTTATTCACATCTTGTTAAAACGAAAGAACCGAATGTTGCAAATAGGCCTGAATACAGGATGAACGGATGTGAGGTTTTAAAGGAAAACAAGAGACATCTTGGCGGTCTTCCTTGACTTACGACCACAATTGGGACCGAAAAATTGGTCATTAAACAGTGTGGAGGTTAAGTAGGCATCAAAGGACTTCCCCCTGATTTTATGACTTTTTTGGGCCGCAGCCATTAAGTGAATCGCCTTGGTTGTTAAGCAAGATAGCACGTGAATGCGACTTGCTACATTTCCTGCAGGCTTCCCCATTGACTTCGCTCGTTGGAAGCAGCTGGGCAGGTCTCAAATGGCGATCATATAATCCCAGGAGGCTGCAACTATTGTAAATGTGAGCTGGTGGCCAAGTGCCTGGATTGTGATCATGTGACAGTGGGGAACGTTGTGACGGTCGTAGGTTACTTTTTTCAGTGCCATCATAACTTCAAACAATCCCTCCCTCCCTTCATTCTCATCTTCCTTCCTTCCTCCCTCCCTCCCTCCCTTCCTTCCCTCCCTCCTTCCGTCCTTCCTTCTTTCCTTCCTTCCTTCCTTCCTTCCTTCCTTCCTTCCTTCCTTCCGAAATATATACCGTGTTTCTCCGAAAATAAGACCCTGTCTTCTATTTCTTTTGAACCCCACTTGGCCTTATTTTCAGGGAGGTCTTATTATTTTGGGGTGTGTGGTGCAAGACAGGGCTCCTCTTGCCATCTTACCTGATTTCCAGCTCTGTCTCCCTAACCCTAACCAGAGGAAATGGCGGGGACCAGCTGTGCATGCGTTTAATTATTTTCGGGGAGGGCTTCTTTTCGGGGAGGGCTTATTTTAGCGCATGCACTCAAAAGCCCGATTGGGCTTATTATCAGGGAATGTCGTATTGTCGGGGAAACAGGGTATGTACAGTATCTATGATTGGGGCAGTGCTGGCCAGGACATCTGATCACTTGGAACTGTGCCATTAGCAGGCTGGATGATGCTGTTTATTTCAACTTCAACCAAAGAACGAGCTACGATCAAAATCCACCTGCAATTCTGCAGTGCCATCTAGTGGCAGTCCGCAGTATTTATTGTATTGTAACACTAGGGCAGTGTTTCCCAAACTTTTGACATATGTGTACCCCTTCTATAATTTTCATTATAACGCTGAGTACCCCTCATAAAAAACATATGCTTTAATAAAAATCAAAATATATTTATTTTTTATTTTTTTGGTACATACACAAAATAAACGAAAGTTATATCTAACTTTTAGATAACACTGCAATTCTCCGGCGTTTAAACAGCTCCGCGGCTCAACGTCAACTGTTAATGTTCCCGCAGTTTAAAAATGGCCGAACCCGAGCTGCGCGAAAGATGCGCAGAAGTTCCCGCCATAATGAGTTGCGATATGATGTACGATGGCCCCAGTTCCCGTGTAAAAACTGCGATACGCGCCTATTTCTTTCCTTGTTCTGTGGGCGCAGCTAAGCACGGTGCAGTGGATATTCCCACGTGATCCCCACCAAACTCCGGTGCAACGCGTACCCCCACCAAACTCTTCCCGTACCCCTGGGGGTACGCGTACCACACTTTGGGAAACACTGCACTAGGGGGAAGAAAGGACAGTGGCTGGGGGATTCTGGGAGTTGAAATCCACACATCTTTAAGCTGCTGAGTTTGAGGAACATTGTTCTAAACGACTGTTCATAAATGCACACCAATTGCCAAGTGCCTAAATTATGATCACATGAGGGTACAGATGTTACAACAGTCGTAAGTGTGAGGACTTGAGTCACTAAACATACGGTTGCTAAGTTACAGCAGTTCGTTTAGTGACCGTTCAAAGTTATAACAGCACTGAGAAAAAGTGACTTATGACCGTTTTTCATACTTATGACCGTTGCAGCATCCCCATGGTCACATGATCAAAATTCAGACACTTGGCAACTGACTCATATTTATGACGGTTGCAGTGTCCCGGGGTCACGCGATCCGCTTTTACGACCTTCTGACAATCAAACTCAATGGGGGAAGCCAGATTCACTTAACAACCATGTTACTAACTTAGCAATTGCGGTGATTTGCTTAATAACCAAAGCAGGAAAGGTCGTAAAAGGGGGGCAAAACTCACTCAAGAAATGTCTCACTGTAACAACAGAAATTTGGGCCTCGATTGTGGTTGTAAGTCGAGGACTACTGTACTCCTAATGGCGCTTAACCTCCGTATAACCAATTTTCGGATCCAATCTTTCTGCTTTTCCAGATGGGTACAGTAGTCGCGACCGCCTGTCCCCAGAGATCTACGAAGAATCAGAAACTGATCCTGGAGCAGAAGAGATGACCACGCGCATATTTGTCGCCCTCTTTGATTATGACCCACTGACCATGTCTCCAAACCCTGATGCAACCGAAGAACTTCCCTTTAAAGAAGGACAAATTATCAAGGTAGGGTTTATTTACAGATTAACAGAGTTGGAAGGGACCTGGTAGGTCATCTAGTCCAACCCCCTGCCCAGGCAGGAGACCCTACACCATTTCTGACAGATGGCAGTCCAGTCTCTTCTTGAAAGCCTCCAGTGATGAAGCTCCCACAACTTCCGAAGGCAACTTCTGTTCCATCGGTTGATTGCTCTCACTGTCAGAAAATTTCTCCTTATTTCCAGGTTGAATCTCTCCTTGTTCAGTTTCCATCCGTTATTCCTTGTCCGGCCTTCAGGTGCTTTGGAAAATAGCTTGACCCCCTTCCTCCTCTATGTGGCAGCCCCTCAAATATTGGGACATTGCTGTCATGTCTCCCTTGGTCCTTCTCTTCACTAGACTAGCCATGCCCAGTTCCTGCAACCGTTCATCGTATGTTTTAGTCTCCAGACCTTTGATCATCTTAGACAGATTCAGATTAACAGAGTTGGAAGGGACCTTGTAGGTCATCTAGTCCAACCCCCACCCAAGCAGGAGACCCTACACCATTTCAGACAGATGGCCATCCAGTCTCTCTTGAAAGCCTCCAGTGATGAAGCTCCCACAACCTCCGAAGGCAACTTCTGTTCCATCAATTGATGGTTCTCACTGTCAGAAAATTCCTCCTTATTTCCAGGTTGAATCTCTCCTTGTTCAGTTTCCATCCGTTATTCCTTGTCTTGTCTGCTTCACGTAACTGTGGCAACAAAGGTCGTAAAATGGGGCAACGCTCACTCGACCGTCTTGCTTAGCAACAGAAATGTTGGGCTCAGTTTGGTCGTTTAAGTCGAGGACGTACATGACAGATGATAGCTAAACCGCTCTTAAAAGCTTTGCGAATTCTAACCGGTGATCCCTTGATTCTTTTCCGTGTCGTCTCTTTTCTACCACCAAGGTTTACGGGGACAAAGATGCCGATGGGTTTTATCGGGGGGAAACTTGTGCGAGACTGGGCCTTATTCCTTGCAACATGGTTTCTGAAATCCAAGCGGACGATCAGGAAATGATGGACCATCTTCTGAAGCAAGGGTTCCTCCCTCTGAATACCCCAATCGAGAAACTTGGTAAGTATTGGCCTGTGGAACATGCTTGACCGCCATTTCTTTGGACCAGAGGTCTTCAAACTTGGCAGCTTTAAGACTTGTGGACTTCAACTCCCAGAATTCTCCAGCTGGCTGGAGAATTCTGGGAGTTGAAGTCCACAAGTCTTAAAGCTGCCAAGTTTGAAGACCTCTGCTTTGGACAGTTACTTTCACAGTTGGGAAATGTTCTCCATGTTTGAGATCAGGACTCCTCGGTTTGCGTTCCCACGACACGTTTAGTTCATCTTTTTGAAAGCACTTAAGAACGTAGACAAGTGGGTTGCTCTGTAATACCAGATCAACAATAAAGCAATAAACAACGTCCATATTGAGGGGCTACAACACTCCCACCAACGCTGATAGAGAGAACCACTGGTATATAAAAGGAGAGCAAACCCCTCTCCCTCTTAGCATTGATGATGTTGCCTAGTTGGGTCACGAAACGTCTGCAAGGAAACAACCAAGCTCAGAGAACACCAAGGACCATACAGTCCTCCTCCTGCTTCTCCCCCCTCCTCAAACCTCACTCCCTTCTAGCACTGAGGATATTATCGAGTTGGGTAATGAAATGCCTGCAAGCCACCAACCAAACTCAAGAGAGTGCTACTGCTATTACTGCTCCTCCTTCCTCTCTTCCTCCTTTCCTCCCTCCTTTCTTCCTTTCCTCCTCTTCTTCTTCCTCCTCCTCCTCCCTTCCACAAACTCCACTCCCTTCTAACAGTATGATGTTGCCTAGTTGGGTAATGAAATGTCTGTAAGGAAATCACCAAGTTCAGAGAGCATCAAGGACCACACAGTTTTCCTCCTCCTCCTCCTCCTCTTCCTCCTCCTGCTCCTCCGTCTCTTCCTTCCTTCCTTCTTTCCTTCCTTTTTCTTTTCCTCTTCCTCTTCCTCTTCTACCTCTTCCTTCCTTCTCTTCCTCTTCCTCTTCCTCCTCCCCTTCCTTCCTTCTTCCTCTTCCTCTTCCTCCTCCTCTTCCTTCCTTCTTTTCCTTTTCCTCCTCCTCCCCTTCCATCTTTCTCTTCCTAATCTTCCTTCTTTTCCTTTTCCTTTTCTTCTTCCTCCTCCTCCCCTTCTTTCCTTTTTTCTCTTCCTCTTCCTCCTCTTCCTTCTTTTCCTTTTCCTCTTCCTCCTCCCCTTCCTTCCTTCTTTTCATTCATCTTCCTCCTTTTTCCTTTTCCTCTTCTTCCTCCTCCTCCTCCTTCTCCCCTTCCTTCCTTCTTTCCTTCCTTTTCCTCTTCCTCTTCCTCCTCCTCTTCCACCTCTACCTCTTCCTTCCTTCTTTTCCTTTTCCTCATCCTCTTCCTTTTCCTCCTCCTCCTCCCCTTCCTTCTTTCTCTTCCTCTTCCTCCTCTTCCTTCCTTCTTTTCCTTTTCCTCTTCCTCTTCCCTTCCTTCTTTCTCTTCCTCTTCCTCCTCTTCCTTCTTTCTTTTCCTTTTCCTCTTCCTCCTCCCCTTCCTTCCTTCTTTCTCTTCCTCTTTCTCATCTTCCTCCCTTTTCCTTTTGCTTTTACCTCTTCCTATTCTTCGTCTTCCTCCTCCTCCTTTTCCCCTTCCTTCCTTCCTTCTTTCCTTCCTTCCTTCCTCCCTCCCTCCTCCATTCCACAAGCCCCGCTCCCTTCTAGCATTGATGATGTTCCCTATTTGGGTAATGAAACATCAGCAAGAAAACAACCCGACCCCAAACCACCAAAGGGCTCTACAAATGCATGGCTTGTTGTACGCTGAAAGGCGGTTGCAATTGCTTTCTCTCTTTGGGTTGGAACAGAAAGAAACCGAAGAAGCAGCCGTCCGCCTGGCTCGGCCACAAGAAGAATGGTTGCGTTGTACGACTACGACCCAAGAGAAAGCTCTCCTAATGTTGACGTGGAGGTATTGTGGTCATGGACACAAATCCAAAACATTTTGTTTTGTAATAATAATTTTTTAAAAAACTAAAAATCTGTGGGAATAGTGCATCCAATTAGGGAACAAAATGGGTGGGTTCAGGGGTGAAATCTACTTACCTTCCTTACCGGTTCGGAAGCGCAAAAAAACACATTACTTCCTAGTTAAAACCAGGAAGTAATGACACCTAAGCGGATGGGCGGAGTTTCGTTCCGCCATCGCTACCGGATCGCCGAACCACCGGCCAAGATCGCTACCGGATTGGGCGATCCGGTCCAATCCGGGAGCATTTCACCCCTGCGTGGGTTGCAAAATTATGGCATGGGTTTCAGTCTGTCCAGAAACTTTTCCTGGACCACTGGCTACTCAGAAGATACAACCATGAGGCTGTCCAACTCCCTGCTCAAGGTGCGTAGGAGACCTTATACTATCCCAATCAAATGGTTGTCCAGTCTGATTTTTAAACGTGGGAGGGGGGGTGGGTCCTCAGAGCAAAATATTGGAGAAACACTGGAATACAATAGTGGCCCAAATTGTGGAAACCTTTTGGGAAAGGTGTAGTTTCTAAAACTAGCTAATAACACCACTTTTTTGGGGGGAGTAGTACCATAAACTGATATATCCATGGAAAGAGAATTTAATCAAGAACGTAACGCCATAACTTTTAGGAAGGATTTGCTATTAGAATAGCAGTTACAGTATAAAGAAGAAAAGTGAAACACGTAGAAAAAACGAGATATACAAAATTGATCCCCATGTCAGTTAATGCTTCGTTGGGTAACCTTTAGCATGAATGACGGCCTTACAACGTCTTCCCATGGAGTGAACCAAGCCTTTTAGTTCTGCAGCTGTTCTAATGCGAAACCAAGATTGAAGGATGGCTTCTATTAACTGGGTTTTATTGCTGGGTGGCTTCTGACTAACAAGGTTCTTTAGTCAGCTCCATAGATTTTCAATTGGGTGAAGGTCTGGGCTATTCCCAGGCATTCCAGCAGTGGAATATGATTATCTTGAAACTCCCCCCAAAAGTGGTGTTATTAGCCATCAAAGCTCAAAAATACACTTTTCCCAAAAGGTTCCCACAATTTTGGCCACTACTGCAAGAGCATTTAGCAATGAGATCTTGAGAAAATATTGTTGTTGTTTTGTAATCATTTCTGCAGGCTGAGCTCACATTTTGTACTGGAGACATCATTACTGTCTTTGGAGAGATTGATGAAGATGGTTTTTATTATGTAAGTGCTTTATTTATGCTCTTCCCCTGAACTGTATTAATGGTGTGAAAAACCTTTTGGGTTGACAACCAGGAACCTGAAGAAAGGATGTCACCCAAGAAGGATGGTGGGTCAAGAATGATCTTTAGGGGGGGGGGGTTGTTTTTCTTGCCTCCCTTAAACTAGTGTTCTTCAACTCTTGGCCAGGGGCATACGAATCTTCAATGTCTTTCAGTGTCTACTTTGCCATAATTGGAATCAATGCATTGGGGGAATTTCTACAGCAGCGTTTCTCAACCTTGAGAATCTGAAGATAGACGGACCTCAACTCCCAGAAGTCCCCAGCCAGCTGTGATTGAGATTGAAGAGCTCTAGATTAACCTTGAGAACTTTAAAATAGGTGGACTTCCAGAATTCCCCAGCAGGTCATGATTGAGATTGAGAGCTCTAGATTAACCTTGAGAACTTTAAAATAGGTGGGCTTCCAGAATTCCTCAGGAGGTCATGATCGAGATTGGGTTCTAGTTCAGTGCTTCTCAACCTTCAGAACTTTAAGAAAGGTGGACTTCCAGAATTCCCCAGCAAGTCATGATCGAGATTGAGAGCTCTAGATTAACCTTCAGAACTTTAAGAAAGGTGGGCTTCCAGAATTCCTCAGTAGGTCATAATCGAGATTGAGAGCTCTAGATTAACCTTCAGAATTTTAAGAAAGGTGGGCTTCCAGAATTCCTCAGTAGGTCATGATCGAGATTGAGAGCTCTAGATTAACCTTCAGAACTTTAAGAAAGGTGGGCTTCCAGAATTCCTCAGTAGGTCATAATCGAGATTGAGAGCTCTAGATTAACCTTCAGAACTTTAAGAAAGGTGGACTTCCAGAATTCCCCAGCAGGTCATAATCGAGATTGAGAGCTCTAGATTAACCTTCAGAATTTTAAGAAAGGTGGGCTTCCAGAATTCCTCAGTAGGTCATGATCGAGATTGAGAATTCTAGTTCAGTGCTTCTCAACCTTCAGACTTTAAGAAAGGTGGACTTCCAGAATTCCCCAGCAAGTCATGATCGAAATTGAGAGCTCTAGATTAACCTTCAAAACTTTAAGAAAGGTGGGCTTCTGGAATTCCCCAGCAGGTCATGATCAAGATTGAGAGCTCTAGATTAACCCTGAGAACTTTAAAATAGATGGACTTCCAGAATTCCCCAGCAAGTCATGATCGAGATTGAGAGCTCTAGATTAGCGTTTCTCAAGCTTGAGAACTTTAGGATAAGTGGACTTCCAACTCCCAGAATTCTCCAGCCAGCCATGATCAAGACCCAGAGTCCTAGATCAATGTGTTTCTTAAGCTCAAGAACTTGAACGTTAGGTGGGCTTCAACTCCCAGAAGGCTGCCAGAGTTGACCAGGAATTCCACCATTCTGGAAGTCCACCTATCTTGAAATCACCATGGTTGAGAAACATTGTTCTAGAGCAGGGGTTGGCAATCTTAAACAAAGGTCCTAACTGGAAGCCCCCATTCAGTTCTGGAGCCGACCAGAAGTCCGGTTCCCCCATCATAGTGTCCTCCTAGCGCAGGGTCCTTTTTCCTCTGCTGACCGGAAGTCCGTTCCCCCATCATAGAGTCTTCTCCTAGCGCGGCGTCCTTTTTCCTCTGCTGACCGGAAGTCCGTTCTCCCACCATAGAGTCTCCTCCTAGCGCGGCATCCTTTTTCCTCTATCTGTCCTAACCAAAAGCCCTATCAATTGTGGAGCCAACCAGCAACAGGGAGCCACAGCAAAAGAGCCACATGCGGCTCCAGAGCCGCAGGTTGCTGATCCCTATTCTAGAGGCTGCTTGTTTGTTCGTTAATTTTCCCTCTCCGTTTCCATGTTTCAGGGGGAACTTAACAACCAGACGGGTCTCATTCCTTCGAATTTTCTTGAAGAAGTGCCTGACGATGTAGAAGTCTATTTATCCGACGCTCCCTCGCGATACCCTCAAGACGCGCCCATGCGTACAAAAGCGAAAAGGGTAAGCAAGCATTCAGAAAAAAGAGAGAGAGAGAGAGAATAAAACAAAACAAAACTGTTGTTTTCGCTTTGTTCCCCTTGCCGACCATTTCAGATTCTGTTTGGCTTGAACGTGTTTGTGTACATATGTATATGTATATATAGAATAGATATGTTAAGAAACGCATTTTTTTGAAACTCAAGTTTTTAGATCGCTCTGAAGCTGGGAGACAAAAAACAAAAAAAAACCTAAACAGCTCCTCGCTCTAAAACCAACTTATTCCTTCCATCAGTGATCGATCTCATGCTAATTTAGGAGCCGCTAATTTATATATATATATATAAATATATATAAATATATATAAATATATATGTATTTATAATATATATATATATATATATATATATTTGTTCCCCACCTTGAACAGTTTATATCTGTAAATTATAGACCTGATGTAGAAATTACCTAAGACAGTAGACTTGGGGATGGATGGATGGATGGATGTAAAACTTCAGGCACTTCTTTTGGGTTTTTTTGGGGGGGGGCAACATCACCCCAAAATTTCAAAATTTCAAAGCGATGTTTTGAGCTGCCGAACGATGCTCCCTTCTGAAGGGTTTCATGTGTCTTCTCTCATCCTTGCAGTTTTTTTTTTCCTTCCTCTTATTATATTTTACGTATATATCTATCTATCTATATATTTTTATTTCTTTGCTCATCTGCTTTGGGAACAGAAGAAGAGTGTTCATTTCACACCTTAAAAAACGGGCAACGTTGCCTTCACGTAAGTGGTGCAACTGAAGATACCAGTAGTTAACTTGGATTCCTCTCAAGTTGGCCTTCTCTAACGCGAGCCATCTTGGTTCCCGTGAGGGGTGCCGAAAAAAAAAAGAGAAATATGTCTCCAAATTCTTTAGCCCTGGTTCCAGATTCTTTTGGTTTTTCTTTTTAAATGAGGGCTGCCCTTTCCCAATCTGATGCCTTCCAAGTACGGTGTGGGCTACAAGTCAGTGGTGGGTTCCTCCCGGTTCGGTCCGGTTCGGCCGAGCCGGTAGCGGTGACGATATGACGTCACCGAACCGGTTCTCCCCCCCTGCCCTCCCCCCCCACATTATTCTTACCTTTTATTTGGCCCCACCCCCAATCTATTGCTGCCTCCTGAGTCCCAGCTGATGACTAGAGGGAAAAAACTGTTTAAACTCTTGCCGCGGGGCTTCAAAGGGCCGTCCTACAGCTGATCAGTGTTAAAAGCAAACAAATGAGTCAGGTCATAAGTGCGAGGACCTTCCAGAAATGACTCTGACCAGCTAGCCATGCCCACCTAGTCACATGACCTCCAAGCCACACCCACAAAATAAGCCACGCCCACAGAACCAGTAGTAAAAAAAATTAGAACCCACCCCTGCTACAAGTCCCATCTCCCCCAAGGGGACCAACTGCTAGTCCGGCAGCGATAGAAGGCACCGAGTTAAGAAAGGAGAATTTCTGATTTATAAAAGAAATGCAGAAGGGATCTTGCATCCAGGGCTTTAACCCACCGAGGGAGAAAAAGTTTGAATATTTGGAACATATTTCTTACTGGCCTTAATGCTTGTTTGCATAAAGAGTGTTCCCAGTGTCCGATCCCAAAGAAAAGCTGCATATTGCATTGTTAGCTAATTGGGGGAGAACGAAAAAAAAAAACAACACCACAAAAATTCGTTGCTGAGTAATCCCGGTTGTGCTAAACAACCCGGCCGGCAGTGGGAAGAGAGGACTTAAGAGTTCTTTCTTTTGAAAGCACATTAACTTTCGACACCTGGTGATCAATTTGCCTTAAAAGCAGCTCTCCTGGTGTATGGTTGTCCATCTGATCATGGCCAAGTTCAAACGAGGTCGCTTATGGAAGTGTGCTCCTCTGCCCAACATCTCAGCAGCTCCTTGGTTGACCAATGCAATAAGCCGAAAGGATAGCGGTGGGCAAACACATTAAACGCTCCACAGATGGTATCTTCAGGTGTATGTTGGGGTTGGACTGAGAAAAGGGTCCCTTTCGGCTTCTCCCTTCCCCTCCCCCCCCCCAAATTAGACAAGACCTTGATTGAAGATCAAAGCAAGCTTGGGACCTCCTTGGCTTAATGAACCCACCGAGATGTCCAAACGGATGTAAACATGACAGAAGTTGGGTGTTGTTAGCAGCTCCATTTTGGGGTTTTTTTTTCCAACTCGGTGAAGCAATTTTTCCTCACGGCGTTATCCTCTTCAATGCCATTGGGCATGTGGAGAGTGCCACCCAACCCAGAAACGTTTAATCAAAGGCCTCGGAGAGCTTTCTTTGATTGTGATTAAGGTTCGTTTTAGTTTGGTTTGTTTGGGGTTTTCCCCCCCTTTCCACCAGTGTGCCATCTTCTCAAAATATGTCCTGACAAGAATGCTAAAGGTTGACGAAGGGTGGTGGTGGATTAAGAAGCATGGAGGGAAGCAAGGGCTAGTCTGAATTCTTCATAACCCTGGAGGATTCTTCCCAGAAATGGGTTAGTTGACTTAAGACGTATGCCACGTGCGAGTCCCCAGATCCCTCCTTGAGAAACAAAGGAAATCCGGGCAAAATCCAGATCCCTCTTTAAAAATAAAGTCATTTTGCAGAGGCTTTGTTCTTCCAAAATAGGCAGAAGACTTCAGCTATTTATGCCGGGACTTTAAACATAAATCAACCCAATTCAATTTACCACGTAAATTTTGACACACTCTGGGAAAGAAGACGGGGTCTGTCACGTGGCATATTTGAAAGAAGAAAAAATTCCTGCCCCTAAAAGGTGTGTGTGTGTGTGTGTGTGTGTGTGTGTGTGTGTGTGTGTGTGTGTGTAATGCAGAGTTTGTCAACTTTTGGCCACTTTTAAAGACGGGTGGACGGACTTCAATTCCCAGAATTCTCCAGCCAGCCGTGGTCGAGATTTGAGTGCTCTTAGATCAGTGCAGAGAATTCTGGGAGTTTGGAAGTCCCGCCCGTCTTTAAACAGGCCATGATTGAGAAACCCTGGTTTAATGAATGACACACACAAAAAAAAGCTTTCTTGTTGTCCGTGACTGCAACCCTTCAGTTAACTTAACAAATATACCTATCAGGTTCCTCCTGAGAACACAGGTACACCACCAAGGAGATCACCAAGCCCCACAGCCCATCTCCACTCGGGGTCACCTCTGCCAGCTATGGGTTCTGGTAGTCCCAGGCGAGGCAGGGAGCTGTCTTCGAGAAAGACAAAGGGGCTCCTTTCCAAAGGGAAGAAACTACTGAAAAGACTGGGTGCCGTGAAATGAAACTTACAATCATCTGGACATCCTCTAAAAACCATCAGACTTTTTTTTAAAAAAAAACAAACAAACAAACAAAAAAAATACCCATATGCAGACCGATCTAGAAACGCTCAAAACTAGGGATTTCAGGACCCCACCCACTATATATATTTTTAATTATTAAGAGCACTCTGTTGTCTCCAGAAACTTCTGTCTGGATTGGTCTCACTCAGCGTGGCAGTGATGCTAAAAAAAAAAAAAAAGCATTTTGATAAGCTAACATGTGCTTTTTCGCCCCTAAACAAACATTTTAAAGAGAGATGGGATTAAGGAATTTAAGCCTGCACCAACCCTAAGGGACTTTGTTTCCTATTTCCACTTTCTCCCTCCCCCCCTTCCCCCATTCCTAAATTCCTATTTCCACTTTGGTGAAACCCTTCCCTGAAAGTGGAAAACAAAGAACCCTAAAAACTATTTAAAAACCCTCTTTTGTTCTTTGATCCCGTGTTTATTCACGTGACGCATACATGGTCTTGAAACTCCTAGTTTGCCAGAAGCCTTTGATGTTTGCCTTATAAATGCACAATTATTTGTACTGTCTGAACTCTACAGCGTAAACTTTCTATGTACTCTGTGTTGACCTATTAACGGTTCCATTCTCACCGAGACGGCCATCATTTAAAAGGCGATGGAATCAGATTTGTGTCTGGTATTAATTCCTGGGAGTGTGAAAATGTTGTGCAAAGGTTCATTGTTATTATTATTTTCAACCGTCTGCGTAAAGTGCTGCTGTTCAGCTTCTCGAGTACGCTTAAAAAAAAAAAAAAGTATACGATTACGGCAGAAACAAAAATGCAGATATAAGGTGGGCTTTGCTTGGGGTTTCCGTATTGTTGAGCTCCGAAGTGTGTTGGAGTCAAAGACGCAGAAGGAAATAATACGCAAAAATGTTGTATTATTCCTGGGCCACTGCCAGCAGAAGTCTCAAATTAGAAAAGTTGGATTTTGACCCCTTGTTGTGACTGGAGATGAAAGACGGAATCGCACAATCACTGCGTACGTGCCGAGGGGGAAAAAAGAGATTATTTGGCTGTTTAAGACTTTTGTAACCATTTGTATATTCTTTTTACTGTTTATACATACTTTTCAGACTGCCTTTGTTTTATAATTGATGGAAGGTTTGTAATATGGATGATCAAAGCTTTTCCCCATTGTGTCTTCAAAGAAATATAATGTAAATTCTTGTAAAATAATAGTGTGCTAGATTTATGTAAAGGAAAAAAAAATAATGGCCTAAACTCGTGGTTAAAAGTATTGTGTGGGCGTGTGCAACTGTGCATGTGTACAGTTGTTAATGTGTAAATTATTTTATATAAATAAATTTGATATTTTGTAGAAGGGTGTGGCTCCTGAATTAACCAATTAGCCATGTGTAAGCAAATTCAGACATGTTGGCTAAACATAGTTTCACCAAGAGTAGCAGAAAACACAGAAGTGCAAATTAAACCTAGGAAACTAGGTTTAATTTTAGTCTCCTTCTTACACTTGAATCATTATAGTGAGGATTTTAAAGTACCTGATAAGTTTGTTTCATGGGTCTTTGAATCTATATTTTTTTTCTTGGTACAATTTAGCTAAAAGGAACAAGACTTTTTGCATACAATGAATACAGATAGTCCTCGACTTACGACCCCAACTGAGCCCCACATGTATGTTGCTAAGTGAGAAATTTGTTGAGCAAGTCTTACCCCATTTTACGACTCTTCTTGCCACAGTGAAGGTGAGAAGGCAGCTTTTCTACTTCACCATTTCCTTATTTCCTGAGCGAAACATCTTACAGTACTAACACTTTGAAAAACGGATTCGAACACAAGGTTTACTGACATTAAATCAACTTTATTCGTAACACCCAGCCTCTGCTGACGAAACCACTATTTTGGCAATGAAACAGTAACATGCTCCAGTAAAAATTGATCTGGATGAGAAACTTAACTAAGTCATACAGATACAAATGATGATGATGATAATAATAATAAAAAGATAATCTTGGCTTGGTTATCACTGATGTAATACAACAGCACCAAATATCTACTCAATTGAGTTTTAAGGCACTTCTTTGGTGTAGTTTTTTTTCCTAACAAAAGAACTCTCCCTGCTCCATATTCTATTTCCGTTCCATTATACTGTTTCCTCTTGTAGATTCACAGATAATAAAGTTTCTCCGAAAGGGTCAAATTTGGCTCTCTGTGGATACTTTGCCCCACGAGGAAAGCCAGTTTATGGGCATACTGGCAGGGAGCAGGCACCCGAATGACTCCCTGCAGAGAAAGGAAGAGGCACAAAACAGCCCATCAGCATCATTAAGGTAACAGCCATATTCTGGGACACAACAAACACTCAACCTTGAAGCCTTTGAATCAGGAAGGAATTCAGTTTTTAGATATACTTTCAAGAGTGGTGGAAAAGGCCTATATGGCTTTAGAAATGAATGGAATTTCACCTCCTTTTGTGTTTTTAAGCAGAAAAAAAGTGGAATAGAAATTCAACAAGGACAGATCCAGCAAGAAGGTACCATCTAGATACACTAAATGGAGACTTTAAAATATGGCCACCTGTAGCGGATTAGGAGATAACTCAAGATTTCCCAATGAAACCCAGAAAAACTGATGTGAGGCTACAGGTAATAAAAAATAAGAAATCTGTAGATGGGTTGGGGATCATCAAAAACTACTTTTCAACTTGATGGGAGGCGTACTCGACTACGACAATACTGGAAGGGTTGGTTGGTATGTGCATTCCTGAGCTGCAGAGCGTAACAATATCTAAACGCAACCGCAATGTTGTTGGTGCCGTTACATTTTTGTATTACTTTATTGACTTAGTCCAATTTACAGACATTTAGGGAATTTTCTGAGGCTAAAAACCACTACTGTGTTCATTTTTTCTCCCCTTTCCTGTTAATTCAGGTAGATAAAACCCGTTCCCTATCCAGGTTCAATATTCAGCTTTTGAGCAACACAGGTAGGACTGGAATAAGATATAGGTGGTTTTTTCCCTTGAATGTTGAGGTTAGTAAGAAGCCTACAGCTCAACTGGTGTTGGTATAAGTCCGTGATGGTGAACCTATGGCAGGCGTGTCACAGGTGACACAGTGCCCTGTGGGTTCGCGAGCCGTTGCCCCAGTTCAGCTCCACCACACATACACATGCGCCTCCCACTGGGCACCTGGTCGTGTCTCTGTTATGCATGCGAGTGTGTGTCTGAGTGTGAAGGGGGGTGCACACATATGCATGGGGCAGAGGTGGGTTTCAGCAGCTTCTGACCAGTTCTGGAAAACCGGTAGAAATTTTGAGTAATTTGGAGAATTGGCAAATACCACCTCTGACCCACATCTATTCTCTGCCTCCCGAGTCCCAGCTGATTGGGAGGAAATGGGGATTTTGCAGTATCCTTCTCCTGGAATGGGGAGGGAATGGAGATTTTACAATATCCTTCCCCCTGCCACGCCCACAGAACTGGTAGTAAAAAAAATTGAAACTCACCACTGGTGTGGGGGGTAGGGCATATGCGCAAAGGCATGCATGCATTGCATTTTGGGGTTCTGGGTGCGCTTTGGGCACTCGGTCCGAAAAAGGTTAGCCATCACTGGTTTAAGTAATCACGGAAGGTCTACTACTTACCGGCCAATTGTAGTACATATGACACAGCTTATATGTTAGCCTCTGCATGTAGTCAGGCTTCAGCGCACTGCTGTCATAGATTACGTTGTAATGGGTGGGTGCAACTGTGCCGCTTTTCACGGACTGGCTCACAATGAAGAAATCGTACCTAGAGGAGAACCAGATCAAAGCCGTCTTGAGATACGTTCAAGCTTGGAGAACTTCATCTTCTTGGAGATCACAGATCCCATCCAGTGATGGTCTCCGATCAGCCTACTCTGCGCTCAGAACAGGTCCCTTCAATGGCTAATGGGAAGTCCTTGGGTAGATTTTAAGGTAAAAAACTTCCTATTATTTTAAATTGTTCAGGTGACATATGTCAACATCTGTCACCTGGTGTCTACATTTCTTGACCATCACTGGGCTTAACTTCTCTGAGGAGCTGACCCTGTTCTAGCCTGGTGTTCATTCTTTCTGCATCCTGGATCTCACAAGGAACTATGAGACACACACACACGCACACATATTTTCTTCTCCTTTTGCTTGGTCTTATCTCACACAAAAAACGTTAGCTTCCACTGAAATCTGGCGTAGAGGAGTACTGTGAAGGCTTGAAGAAGATATTCAACAACTGTTGGAGAACATCAGCCTAACCCTGGAAGGTTTCTGGAAAGAAACTCAAGGCTGCCCTATCTTGATGCTCTTTGGTGTAAGTATGAGGAGAAAGAATCAAGGTTGTTTTGAAATAAGACTTCTAGTCAGGTTTGAAGAACGGAAAATAGGCAATTAAGAGCCCTTCCTTCCTCAATGAGTTAAGAGTTGGAAGGGACCTTGGAGGGCTTCTAGTCCAACCCCCTGCTCAAGCAGGAGACCCTACACCATTTCAGACAAATGGTTGCCCAGTCTCTTCTTAAAAACCTCCACTGATGGAGCGCCCACATCTTCTGGAGGCAAGTCATTTCACTGGTTAATTGTCTTGTTGTCTTGTTGTCTTGTTAGGAAGTTTCTCCTTAATTCTAGATTGCTTCTCTCCTTGATTAGTTTCCATCTGTTGTTTCTTTTTCCTGCCCTTAGGTGACTTGGAGAATAAGTCGACCCCCTCTTCTTTGAGGCAGCTTCTTAGATATTGGAAACCCACCCACCCCCAAGAATGGAAATCTCTCAACTTCCTGTTTTTGAGCATCTGTACATTTTTCCCTTGAACTCAACAGTTGACTTACCACTCTGGTCTGGTAACTTCTAAGTCAATAACTGTGCCAGGTGGTGGGTTCTGTAGTTTTCCTTCCATTTCGGCAAAGAATC